ACCAAATTAGAAACTCTAGAAGAAAGAATAAGCAAACTTGAAAATAGGTAGATGGAAATTATCCAAACTAAAGCAGAAATTTTTAAAAACCAAAAACTGAAATAATTAACAGTATCAATTACCTTTGAGATATTACCAAATTGGGTTCAGAGTAGGAGAGGAAGGAGAGACTAGGCCAGGGGAAATAATCGAAGAAATAAGAACTTCAAGATTTTCCAACTGGGTACAGTGGCTCATGCCTGTAATCCTAGCACTTTCGGAGGCCAAGGTGGGAGGATCGCTTGAGGCCAGGAGTTTAAGACCAGGTTGAGCAACATAGTGAGACCGCACCTCTACAAAAAAAAAAAACAAAAACAAGAAAAATTTACACAGGCCTGTAGTCCCAGCTACTTGGGAGACTGAGGCAGGCGGATCCCTTCAGCCCAGGAGTTTGAGGTTGCTGTGAGCTGTGATGATGCCACTGGATTCTAGCCCGAGTAATAGAATGAGACCCTATCTCAAAAACAAAATGAAACAAAAATTCCAGGTGCTCAAAACATCCCAAGCAAGACAAACAAAGAAAACCAACCACATGCCCAGGTATATCATAGCCAATAGTTGAAAATCAAAGATAAAGATACATACATATATGTATATGTAATTTTTTTTTTTTTTGAGGCAAGGTCTCGCTCTGTTACTGGGCTAGAGTGCAGTGGTGTCATGGTAGCTCACTGCAACCTCAAATTCCTGGGCTCAAGCAATCCTCCTTTCTCAGCCTCCCAAACAGCTGGGACTGCAGGCATGTGCCACCACACCCGGCTATTTTTTCTAGAAACCGGATCTCACTCTTGCTCAGGCTGGTCTCGAACTGCTGACCTCGAGCACTCCTCCTGCTTCGGCCTCCCAAGTGCTGAAATTATAGGTGTGAGCCACCATGTCTGGCTAAGAGAAGATATTAAAAACAGAAAAAAAAGATACATTACATACAGCAGGAAAATGATAAGAATTTCAGCTGATTTAGGCAAAAAATGCATGTCAGAAGGCAAACGAGGGACGTAAGTAAAGGGCTGAAAGCCTGTCATCAACCTAGAATCTAAATCTAGTGTAAATATGCTTCCAAAATGAAAGGTGAAATAAATATATTTTTAGATAAGCAAAAACTAGGAGAATTTGTTGTTAGAAGATCCACACTACAAGAAATGCCAAAGGAAGTGTCTGGGCTGCAGGGAAGTGGCGCAGATGAGACCCAGACCTACAGGAGGGAACGAAGACGCTAGAAATGACACGTGCGTGGTGAAATAGAAAAGACTATGTATTTGTAATTTTTAAAAAGTCAATTGTTGGCCGGGCGCGGTGGCTCATGATGGTGCCACTGCACTCTACTAGGGTGACCAAGTAAGACTCTGTCTCAAAAAAAAAAAGGAATAAAAAGTCAATTGTTTAAAGTAAAATTACAACAATGCATTTTAGGAGGTATGATACGTGTAGAAGTAAATTGTATAATAGTAGTAACAGAATGGTATCTCATGACGGCCTATTCCCGTTATGTCAAGTGAGGGACCAGACGGACCCCTGACTCTTTGTTATTATCCTGCACTTTCCCAGCAGCCTGGGGGAGGCATTCCAGCGTGGCCTTAGTTGGGATCTGCTGACTGCTACCCCACCAGCATATGGTGGGCATGAGGCCCAGGCCCACCAAGGCCCTTTTCTACCCCTAGCCCATGGCTTGGCCAAGTCTCTCTTTCAGACTGGTTTCCTCTGTTGCTGAGGTCATAGTTTGATGGAAGAAGCTGACCCTGAGGATACAGGACCACTGCTGTTTTGGGAGGATGCTCTGAAGGAGGAAGTCCTGGGAACTTCCTGGAGGAAGTGACATTTGAGGCGAGCTGGCAGAGGCAGGGAGATGGGCAAAAGTATGGCAGGGGGAGGGGCACAGCCCAGCCTGAACTTTGTCCGGAGGGCCATGGGGAGCTGGGTTAGGGCCATGACTAAGGAATGCTACTCTCTGGGAAGAGGGGAGGATGAATGAAGTGGAAGAGGCTGGGAGCTGGGACCTCAGCATGGGGGAGGCTGGGCAGGGATTCAGGGTCTGAGCCAGGCCCCAGTTCCCCCTCAGCCCCACCCCCCACTCTCTCACCTGCAGGGAGAAGTAAAAGCCTCCTGGGGGCACAGCAGGGCCGTCTCCTCCTGCACCTTGTAGGTGGGAGAGGATGGTGAGCCCGGGGCAGGCTGCCCTCTTCAAGGAGTCCTGACTGGGGCAAGGGAGGGGGAGTCCCCTTCTCCCCTGCCACCCGGTGCACAGATCAGGCTCTGTCCATTGGAGCCCAGAGTTCGCTAGTCCCCAGCAGAACATGCACTGAAGTGCAGACGGCACAGCCACAATGACTTGGGCAGGCAACGCTGAGGGGCTGGGAGGTCACAGGGCTGCACTGTGGAGCCCCCAGAGGCAGTGCAGGACCCTAGAGGGTCTAGGACAAAGGTTCTAGGATTGGTCACTGCTGAGGTGGCAGGAGCACTAGAGTTCCTCTGTCCAGTTCTGGGCCCAGAGGGCACCAACTCTAGCATTTTCTCAGAGGGGCATCCAAGGGCTTGGGGCAGGACCACTGCTGGTACAAGCCTGATCCTCCCCCGGCTTCCCTGCTCCTTGGGAGGTGTTTCCCCTGTCTGCCCCTGGCCAGGGGCCTTGACCCATATTCAGAGGAAACCTGGGGTCAGGCTGACACCACCCTGCATGCTGTTCCCCAGCTTCAATCGCCTGCATAGCTCCTAAGATGAAGTCCAAATTCCTTGAAGTGGGCACTCCAGCCCCGCTTCGGCCCCTGCCTTACTTCCACAACCTCCTCAAGTATGCCCACCTCCCTACCCCTGCTGGGACCCCTCCTCCTTCAGACCTCCTGACCCCATCCTGTCCAAACTCCAAGGCCAGGCCACCTGGGTCCCAGATGTCTGACTAGACGGTTCGTGCTTGCACTGTGTGGGTGCTGACTTTAGTGAAATATAGTTGGAAATTCATTCATATGCCATATGACTCCTTTCTTCAGACATAGCTGATTGCAAGTGGGGGTCTGGGGAAGCCATCAGCCTGTCTGAGCCCTGCTAGCCCCTGCACTGTCAGGCCGCACCAGGTTATTTGCTCTGTTAGCCAGGCTGGCCTTGTTTGTCTTTATACTGCCACATTCCTTTCAGCCTCAGGACCTTTGCGCATGCTGTTCCTTTGTCTAAAATTCTCTTTCATCCCTCCTATACATAGATAACACCTATTATCCATTTCCCCAGAAAAACCTCTGACCTCCCTGATTAGGTCAAATGCTTAGAATGTGTCCTCCGCATGTATCTCTTCCTGTGAGGACCTGTCAGAGCTGGAACTCCACCTGTGTGATCACTGTTATATATTGGTCTCTCCCTCAAGCCTGCGAGCTCTGCAAAGGCAGGGACCATGTCTGTTTCTGCCCATCGTTGTGTGCTGCAGCCTCCAGCATAGTGCCTGGTGTCTAGTGAGTGACAGGTGGTCGGCAGATGGATAGTCCCAGGCAGCAGTTCCCGCCTGAGCCGTCAGCGATTCCTCTGGGAGTGTCTCTTAGAGAAGCTCCAAGGTTTTGTTCAAGGAACTGAGGCCTGACTGAGGCGTGCCTGTGTCTACCAGGACTCTTTGCAAAGACGCTGTCCTCCCTCCTCTCCCCTCTCTATTTCCAGGTCGCTGGGGTCACAGACCAGCGCAGCCTGGCAGGAATGCTCCGCCTGCTTCAGCTGCTTTCGCCTTCCTGTCCCGCAGGCCTGGCGACAGGAATCGCAGCTGCTCCTTCCAAAGGCTCAGAAGGTCACGTTCAAGAAGGGCTCCTGTTCATCTGTTAAATGGGGATAAGATTTTTAAAAAGGAAAAAAAAGAAGGCCTCCTGGACTCTGAGAAAGGCAACCAGGGGCTGTCTGGGAGGCAAAAGCCTGCGTCTGGCTACACCGGCCTCAGAGACAGGAGCTCTCACAGGCTCTGCTCCTTCCACAGCGCTGTCGCAGGGCGCCCCGAGCTTAGCGACTCAATTCCTGAGTCACACACAGCTGAGACAGCAGCGACAGAAGAGCCCAACTCCGTCGACTCCAGAACCCAGGCCTCCCTAAAAAGCCAGTTCGCATGCTCCCGGGGTATGGCCTGGCTGGGACGCTGGTGCCCCACCGTAGCTTCCCTGCAGATGAGAGGGGAGCCGGGAGACTGCTCCCATTCCACACAGTAGGAAGCTGAGGCCCAGCGGGGACCTCGGGGGTCAGATGGCAGGCAGGGGTAAGGACAGACCCAGCGAGTGCAGCATCCGAGGCCACAGCCCCTCCGCCGGCGCCTGCGCGTTTAGGCTCCGGGTCCCCGCTCAACCCCGCCCCCATCGCTCGGGTTTTCAAATTTGAAACCTGCTTCTTTTCCCGCCCGACCGTGTGGACCAGCGGCGGGAGAGGGCGGGGCCGGCACCAGCCAATGGTGCCTCAGAGGCTCCTCGGCCCCGCCCCGAAGATGACGACAGCGAGTCCGGGAGGGCGATGGGCAAATGAGCGAGCGGCGTCCGGCCGGCCCCGCCCCGCGGCGCCCACGTGCAGCGGCTGGCCGGGGCCTCCCGGGACCCCGGGCTCCCTCGGCGCCGCTGTGTGCGCGGGGCGCGGCCTTCGGCACGGGGCTGGAAACGGAGGCCCAAGGCGCCAGGGAGCCGGCGTGGGGTGGTGGAACGAGGCGGGCGAGACGCAGCACCCCCCAGCTCGGGGGTTCGCCTCACGGCCAGGCCTGGAGCCGGCGCTTGTGCCTGCCTCGCGAGAATCCAGGCCACTTGCGGCGGGCGGGCTTGCGGAGGGTGGGCTCCGGTTCCCGGGCGCGTTCCGGGGGGCGGGGCCACGGGCGGGGCGTTCCCGCGGGCGGGGCGTCCAGGGGGCGGGGCCGGGCCCCTGTGTTTGTTGCACCGTGTCAGTTACATTGTAACAAAAGTGGTGCAGCCTTTGCTCCAGCCAGGCCAACACCCCAGGCCAGCCTACCGCCAGCTGTCGCCGACATGGAACCCGTGGCCAGTAACATCCAGGTCCTGCTGCAGGCGGCCGAGTTCCTGGAGCGCCGTGAAAGAGGTGAGAAAGAACCCTTGGCTGGATTCCTGGCGGCGACTTCGCTGACACGCGCTTCGACTGGACTTGGCTCCCGACTTGAAGGATGCATGGCCCTAGGGCAATAGCCATGGGGCGCCCACGCCCTCAACTCAAGAGGAGTCCGCGGGCAGTCGGGCTGGGAGGGGTTGGGGAAATGGTCCTGGCGCCAAAAGCTTTCCTTGACCGTGCTGTGTCCCGGGCTCCCGCTGGAACCAGGTCCAATCCCTGTCTGACACGGGCTGGGGCTCTTTCTGGCAGAGGCCGAGCATGGTTATGCGTCCCTGTGCCCGCACCGCAGTCCAGGCCCTCTCCACAGGAGGAAGAAGCAGCCCCCCCAAGCTGCTGGCGCGCTGGACAGTGAGCGGTGAGGAGGGCCAGGGGCCGCGGGGATTGGGGGGGAGGGGCACCGTCCCCCATCGGGCCCTTACTCGGCCCGCTACCTCCCTGTTGCTTGCATCTTCTGGGCCAGGAGGCATTCAGAGCCTTTGCCATCTCCGCACTCCCCAAACACAAACACACGCCTTGCTGTTCATTCAAGGACCCTTTCTTGAGCACCTCTGATGTGAGCAAGACAGTTGTGGGTCCTGCTCCCATTCTCCACACAGCAGACCCCTCACCCGCCTCACAGCCTTCCTCCTCTGCTCCCCTTGCCTCAACCCTTTGCATGTGCTGTCCTCTCTGCCTCCACCACCTGCTTTGGGGAACTTCTGTTTCTGCACTCAGCTGTCATCTCTGTCCGCGAAGCGCTTCCCGACTGGCTGGCTCAGGGCCTTGTTTGGACCCCCATGGCCACCTAGGCAGGCCTATCTTAGCATTTGGCCCCATGTGTGTCTCTGACTCCCCCGACCCCTGCCTAGGGTGAGGCCAACTCGAGGTCCCCACAGGGGGATTTTGTGGGGCACACATCTGTTGTGGATCTTGAGCCAGAGGGCCTGGGGATTGGGGGGGTGGGCAGTAGTTGGCCACCGCTCACCCCACCCTCCCTGGCATTGGCAGGTCTGTGCATAATGAGCTGGAGAAGCGCAGGTGAGTCCCAGCCCTGTCCTGACAGCACCAGGCCTCATGGACCACCTCCCTCTGGCCTTCCCTCCCCTGCCATCCCCCAGGCCAGCAAGATGGGGCTGGCACTTCCCTCCAGACCCCTTTCCCTGCAGGAGGGCCCAGCTGAAGTGGTGCCTGGAGCGACTCAAGCAGCAGATGCCCCTGGGGGCTGACTGTGCCCGATACACCACACTGAGCCTGCTGCGCCGTGCCCGGACACACATCCAGGTACGAGGCCACCCCAAACCTGGGCCAGCTTGCCAGGATGTGTGGAGGGGTATAGGATGGAGGGGCTGGGTGGAACTTGGGAAAGAGACCTGGGCTCATAGCCCAACTGTGTGACTTGGGACAGTTTTCTCTGCTCTTAGTTTCCAAATCTATTAAATGGAAGAAAAGCAGACAGTAACTCAGTCGGTTGTTCTGAGACTTAAACGAGTTCACCCTATAAATATTTGTTGTTATTATTTACAGCCATTATTACTTAAATCTCAGCTATGAGACCTTGGGCAAGTCACCTGGCCTGTCTGGACTTCCGGTTCCCCCTGTTTGGGGGAGGGTATGGCTGTTGAGTTCTGTGATAGACTGTGTGGGAGGAGGGCTAATCCTCGCTCTCCCCCTCCCCCATCCTTCAAAGCCTCCTGTGCTGGGCAGTCTGTCCTGATGCCATCTTGGGAGCATCAAAGACCAGGATGGGAAAGGACTTGAGAAGACCTGGTCTCGAGGGCCCTTGCTGCTGCCTGGGCTGAGCTCCTTGCCCCTGCTGGCCAGGAATGGGTGTGTGGACTCAAAGGCCCGGGCTGCTCTCGCCCTTGCCATGTCCCAAGCAGCCTTGGATACCAGAGGACTTTTCCTGCCCTCCTGGCCCTTTTGACAGAAGAAGAAACGGAGGCTTAGCTGTGCTATGAGCCAGGTCGCACAGCTGGTGAGAGGCAGATTCAGGACCCAGGCCCAGGTCCCCTGATGTGCATTATTTCCTCCAAGTATTTATCGAGCACTTGCTCTGCCAGGCCCTATTCTAGGCACTGGGGGCTGTGGCAGAGACAGACCTATTTGCCATCAGCAAATAAGTCACAATCGTGGGAACCATTTGCACTGTCCCACAGGTGGCTGTTTGTACTGTCACTGTGGCTGAATAACACTCTGGGCAGGTAATGGGCCCCACTTTCTCATGTGGAACTTGCCTGGCCAGCTTCTAGGGTGGCTGCTGGTGCCCCTCATGAGCTGGCTGGCCCGGGGGCAGGACCAGGGTTACTCCTTCCTTGAAACTCCACCACCCCTCTCCTGGACTCATGTCCACCAGCCTCCTCCTGGCCTCCTTGCTTCTGGTTTTGCCCCCAACAGGCTGTCTTCTACTCTGCCCTAGAATGATCTTTGCAGCACATAGATCTGCCCGGGGCCATCTCCTGCTGAAAACCCTCTAATAGCTCCTGACAGGACAAAGCCTCAGTTCCTTACTTCCTATGAAACTCAAGGCCCCTCACAACCAGGCCTTGCCACTAGGCGGCTATTTTGGTCTCATCTCTCCCTATTTCCCACAGAAGCAGCTGAACTCTCCCTGATCCTCCCAGCCTCCCACTGCTTCCTGCTTCCTCCTTTGTCTCTGCCTGGGCAGCTCCTACCTTATCCTTCTATGCCCAGACAAAATGCCCCTTCCGCCCGATTCTCCCCTTCTTGCTGAGTGACCGAATGCAGGCTTCTGCCCATCGAGGGCTCTGCCTGGAAAAGCTCTCAGCCTTTTAGTCCCTGGAACTTCAGGACTGGCAGAGCTGGGGTGGGACTAGGGGGACATGGATTAATGCTGAAGCCTTAGAGCCCCTGGGAGGATCTTAACCAGGAGTTACAAACTGGTAGCCTTTGTTTGGTCTGTAGTTTTCTAAAAATTTAAATTAGTTGGCAGCCCTTACAAGGACATTTGACATGAAAAAATCTGACTTTCCAGTTTCTCTTAAAGAAACGGGGAGAGCTGGCAGCACTGGGCCTGTTTCCATGTGGCAGCAACTGCCTGGAACCTGAGCTGGAGTGTGTACTCACCCGTGTGCCACAGTCCCCCAGTCCCTACTGCTTGACACCAGGGTACTCCGATCCTTTACATCTCTGGACTAGGCCCCAAAGGTCTAGTGTGGTCCCCTCCCCGCTCTAGACAGAACTCTCACAGGCCGTGCACGCGCAGTACGAAGGGCAGGAGGGGCTGGCTTCCTGGAGGATATGGGGACAGCCCTCTGGGGCCCGGATTTAGTTAGCACCCAGCTCCCCTGTCTGGCGCTGAGTGGTGCTGGACTGAGGCCCAAGTCCCCCCAGGCAGCTGACCCAGCCCCTTGCTCCTTCGGGATCCGCAGAAGCTGGAGGAGCAGGAGCAGCGGGCGCGGCAGCTCAAGGAGAAGCTGCGCAGCAAGCAGCAGAGCCTGCAGCGGCAGCTGGAGCAGCTCCGGGGGCTGACGGGGGCGGGCGAGCGCGAGCGGCTGCGGGCAGACAGCCTGGACTCCTCGGGCCTCTCCTCCGAGCGCTCCGACTCGGACCAAGGTAAGTGCCCTGAGGCTGGGGGGTCGTGCGGCCATCTGGGAGGCCCAGGTCTTCTGACTGGATCCTCCTACGCAGAGGAGCTGGAGGTGGACGTAGAGAGCCTGGTGTTTGGGGGCGAGGCCGAGCTGCTGCGGGGCTTCAGCGCGGGCCGAGAGCACAGCTACTCGCACAGCGCAGGCGCGTGGCTCTGACGCGCCGCCCAGGGCGGGCCTCTGCGCTGACCACCTCCGCTCGCGCGGGGCAGATCCTGCCAGGCAGGAGCCCTCGCCAAGCCTCCAGGGCTGCTCGGAGTCACCTGTTGGAATGGACAAGGACCCTCGCGTGGGAACAGGTGCTTCCCCATACCGTGCTGCTGGCTGCCAGGCAGGCCCTCCTGGGGGAAAGATGCCGCTTCCCCTTCTCCACCGGAGCCCTGTGGGGCAACTTGAGCCTAGGCCGCCCTTCTAGGCATTTCTGGGTAGCATTTGGCTCTGCTGATCCCATGGGGAGCGGGAAACCTCTTGGGCATTCAAGTCCCTTCCTGGACAAGGTCCCCTGGCCTTTGCCCCATATATACTTTAAGTATTTTCATTAAAAGCCTCTTTTGTAACTTCCCTTGTCCGTGGTCTTGCCTGATGAAAATATGGGAACTCCCAACCACAAACTGGGAAAGAGGAAATGAGACCAGCAGCCGGCCACACTGCTGGCGGGGCGGGCAGTACACATTCAGTCCCCATTTGGATGCTGTTCTGTCTCACTGCACAGACAGTGGAACCAGGGTTGGGTGACGTGACTCGCCTGAGGTCCAAAGTGAGGAAATAGCGAAGTCTAGATTCAAACCAAGGCTTTCTAACTCCAGAGCTGGGGCTGACTGAATTCAACAAATATTTATTGAGTACCTATTATGTGCTAGATACTGTTCCAGGTACTTGGGACACATCAGAGAACAAAACAAAGAGCCCTGCCCTCGTGGAGCTTACAGTCTAGTGTTTATTGCCACTTCACCTGCATATGGTCTGTGACTGGGGGCAAGTCATGACACCTCTGTCCTCAGCTGCCCAAAAAGGGGATAGCAGGCCAGGCTCAGACATGGATAACGTGCCTGGTGTATTGCAGATGCCAAACTGGACACCCACCCCCAGCCCACCCAGACAGTGGACAGGGCTGGAAGTTGATTTTTTAGTAAGAGAGCACAATGGGGACAGGGCAGAGGGTGTCAAGCGGAGTTGTCTGGTGTGCTGTGGTGGTGGCAGGCTGGCTACACAAATTGCTGCTGCTGCTGCTGCTGCTTGGTGGCTGCCTTGTTGGCTAGGTCCTTGGCCTTCTCTGTAGCTGCCAGTGCTGTCTCCTTTGCCTTCTCCTTGGCTTCCTTGGCTGTCTCAACAAGTGTTTTGGAAGGGGCCTCACCTGCAGCAGGTGGCAGGGGGCTGGCTTTAGATGATGCCTGAAAGGCCCATCTAATCACCCTCCCCCATGATTAACCTCCTCTGGGCCAGGCCCCATTCACTGGACAGACAAGGAGTCCCCGGCTCAGTCCAGGGCAATGGCTGACCCAGACTTGACCCTAGCTTCTCCCTATGAGGCTCCCTAAGCAGTATCCAGAACTCTCACCCTGCAGCTTGGCCAAGATGTACTCAAAACCTTTCATAGTCTTGGTCACGTTGCTTTTGAACCGGGCGAGACCAAATTCCTGGCAAAAAATGAAAAAGGGGAAGGATTCTGAGCTGCCGACTAACCCCAACCCAGCCTTAGTGCCACAAACCCTGAGCCCCAGCAGCCCCCACAAAACTGCTCACCTGGACAGCTCTGGAGACACCAAATAAGCTAGAGGAGACCCAGGCTTCCCGACGGATTTCGGTCCAGCCGCTGTTGTCAGAGTTCACATAGTAAACACATCGCTCCTCCACCATCTGTGCAGGGAGTCAGGCCAACCATAATCGCGGTGAAGTCTTTTACTTTGCCAACTTGCACATAAATTTGATCCCATCTCTTCATGAGGGGAAGCAATGAAATGAAAATCCGTTCCTTCCCCTTACTGTACCCCCGAGTGCCATTCACAGACTGGGAGCAAGAAGACCACAAAAAATGTCATTTTGCTCTCCGAGACCTCTCTTCCGACCCTTAAACTAGAAGGTACATGGTCTCTTGAGATCAGTAGAGGGCCTTCCAGCCTGTCCTGGCCCTAGACTTTCTGTTTTGTACCTTTCTCTCTAGACATGCACAGTGTGTTAAGCCTGCCATCCACCCACTGCAGCTCGAGCTTCCTGACAGTTCAGGTAGAAATGAATGTTTGACAGTTGTCACAGTTCCCATTATCACATAGGAAAATGTGACTGCTACTTCCAGGAGACACATTTAAGAGATACTTCTCACAGCTGTCTTGTAATTTACCAGACACAGACTTAGATCCCTCATGTAACCATCTGAGATGACTTCAGACAGCTGAGGCACAGTAAGGTGCCCACTCACTGTGTGACCCTGAAGGACACACCCCTCTCTGAACCTTACTTCCCTCTTTGCACAACAGAGAGGTTATTGTTAAGATAAGCTGAAAAAGAGAATTCTCTGAAAGCTTTCAGGGTGTTAACATGGAATAAGATACACAAAATGTTCCTTAACCTATGGGTTTTCAAGCTTTTTTAAAAGCAAGAGATCAAAGGAATGTGGAACCCCCCTTCCCAATATCTCAGCAGAAATCCATTGGGCAATACAAGTAAAAGTGCAACTCCTCTAGTCAAAGTGGAGCAAGGGGTCCAAAACCTGTCCCCCTGAGGCACATCCAACGTGCCTTATGGCTTGGTGGACTCCCGTTTGGAAACCACTACCCCCTCCCTCAGCATCATTCCTGTGGGTCCAATCTCCATGTGTGCTGCACCTTTGCGTTTAGTACTTGCAACAACTCTGAAGACAGGTACCCCTGCTCCACTGTGTGAACGGGTCAAAGGACAGGTCAGAGGCTGACCAGTGGAAAAGAAGATAATCTGAGGCTGTACCCCATAGCTGTCACTCCTCAGTAACCCAGACCTACCTCAGACCACAGAAGCTCCCTCATGGCTCTCTAGCCACGTGTACCTGAGGAGTTCTTTACTTTTGGGGGTGTAAAGGGGGGGTGGTGTCTCACCATCAGCCGGGCGTGGTTGATGTTCCAGGTGAAGGTGGTCATGATCTGATTCTGTGGGTCCACAATAGAGTCCTCCAGGATGTACACCGAGTGAGCAACATTGGCAGGAAACAGTCGCTCAGCCCAGCGGGGCATCCTGTTGGTCTTGGTCAGGAGGCGCCGTGACAGGAGCTTCTGGTCAGGGGTCACCTCCCGGTGTACTATATCTTCCGTCAAGACATGTTTGCTGCAGGTGTCAGAGTGAAGGTGACCCTCAGGGACCTGCCCCTGAGAGACTGCCTGTTGCGGTTCCTGTTTGGAGCCTTCTGGCCCAGGCGGGCCATGCCTTTCTGCAATCTTGCAGAGTGACATGTGGCTCAGATCTGAACTGAGAATCCCTCAAACCTATCCCAGGGCAAATTCCAACTTCCGCCTCCTCACTGACCTGGATTCCTGGGCCTTCCAGCAGGGCTGGATCTCATGATTTATTACACCACGTGGAAGGCCATGGACAGAGTAGGCAAGCACCCGGATTTCCAACCTCAAGATCCCTCCCAACTCCTGTGCTGCCGCCTCTTCGTGTCTCACCACCCTGAGACTTAGACTAGGGTCTCAAGTAAACCACCACCCAGGCCCAGCTTCCTTTCAGGATCTTGCAGGCCTGGCCTGGCTGCTTCCTCGATAAGGTTTTTGGGCCTTAAAGACCGCCACCGTTCCTGCGATCCCCTACAGGGAACTCGACGTGGAGTCACTGCTGGCCGCATTACTCGGGGGTCACCCACACTTCGATCTCCAAATAGCTAAGGGCGTGTGTGGGGGGAGGGGTTGCTCTTCCAAGAACCACATACCTATAGGGATTCGGGTACCGCTGCCAGAAGGCAGCGAACACTTGGTCCCAGGAACTCCGGAGCACGCTCTGGCCCAGGAAATACTTCACCATCGTCCCGGCCGGGGCGGGCTCAGCACCCACGCAGCATTAGGGGTGCGGAGCCCGGGGAGGGCTCGTGGTGGCCGGCCCGGCTCGGCGCACGCCCGCCGCCAGGCTAGCAGCTCAGTCACCACCGCACCTCACCCAAGCCGCCACAGCCGCCATGAATTGTCCCGGCCCGCGCCACTTCCGGCGCAGCCGCACAGTAGCCACCACTTCCGGCGCTCGCGTCACGTGACCTCGCGGCCCCGCCCCCTCCTGGCCCCCTCCCGCGGGAGTCGCGGTGCTGCGGGTTGGAGCAAGGCTGGAGGGGACCCCAGGTTCGGTTGGGAAGCCGAGCCGAAGCGGAGCCTAAGCCCGGCAGCCGAGCGAGCGAGTGACAGAGCAGCGAGCTGCACGGTGGCGTGCAGCGCTGTTGAGGACGCTGTCCCTCGCCCTCACGGCCACCTCGGGTCTCGGGGTCTTCGAGATAATTGGCGCCCGGGGCCAAAGAGCGGGGCAGACGGGTGCGCTGACAACGTGCAAGGCCACTCGAGACCGACGCGGTGTCTCGAGTCGCAGGTTGGCGCTTGGGGTCGGGTTCTGAGACTCGGGCGCTGCCTGGGCCGAGCGGAGATCTGGGTTTGCCTCCCGTCCCCGCTCAGGACCCTGACGTGGGTGAGGCGGCCCTGGGAGCATGAGCGGGCAGCGCGTGGACGTCAAGGTGGTGATGCTGGGCAAGGAGTACGTGGGCAAGACAAGCCTAGTGGAGCGATACGTGCACGACCGCTTCTTGGTGGGGCCCTATCAGAATGTGAGTGCACCCGCTGGGGCCAGGAACGGGTGGGAGGGGGCCAGCTTGCACCCGTGGCCCTGATCCCTTCCCTCGTGTTGCAGACCATCGGGGCCGCCTTCGTGGCCAAGGTAATGTCTGTCGGAGACCGGACAGTGACTTTGGGTATTTGGGTAAGTCCCCTGGGCATCTACTCTTGGGTAAACTCATTTCTTACTGGTTGACTTGTGGCCTCATGGAGGTCATTTCTTTTCTCTAGACCCCCGTTTCCTCACCAGGAAAATGGGGGTCTGGAGGATACGGCCTTAGTTTGACTAGGGCCAGGGTTGAGCCTCCCCCTGCCCTTTAGGACACCGCAGGCTCTGAGCGCTACGAGGCCATGAGCAGAATCTACTATCGGGGTGCCAAGGCTGCCATCGTCTGCTATGGTAAGGGAGGTTCTGGGCTGTTCCTCAAGCAAGAAAGGTTGGGTGCCAGGCTGGTTTTGGTGAAAGCCCTGACCCTTGGTTGTGTCTCCTGCATGCCCCATACCAAGACCTCACAGACAGCAGCAGTTTTGAGCGAGCCAAGTTCTGGGTGAAGGAACTGCGCAGCCTAGAGGAGGTAGGTGGCCAGACCTCACCATAAGACCAGGGGCTGGGGCTCTGTTGGTCAGGGGTGACCCTGGCCTTGTCTTCTGCCCCAGGGCTGTCAAATCTACCTGTGTGGCACCAAGAGTGACCTGCTGGAGGAGGATAGGCGGCGTCGACGTGTGGACTTCCATGACGTCCAGGACTATGCAGACAGTAGCTGCTCCTTGGCCCCTTGGGCGGTAGAGGGGGGAGTGGCTGCTTGGGTGGGTCACAGGAAATAGGGACTGCCTCGGTTGCCATGGCAATGTGCCCTAGGAGGGCTTTCTGGCCTCCTTGAACCATGGGGTCCAGGAGACTCCCTAAACTGCTAGCCTTCCCCTTTGTCTGTTTACCTGAGGCTTTAGTCACTTCTCTTTACAGATATCAAAGCTCAGCTCTTTGAAACATCCAGCAAGACAGGCCAGAGTGTGGGTGAGTGCTGTCCTCGGGCCTCACAGGAGGAGCACCAGAGCAAGCAGAAAAGAGCCTAGAGGGCTGGGTCTTTGGGAGATCCCAGGGCTACTGGCATTGGGTCCTCACTGATCATCATTTTTCCTGCCAGACGAGCTCTTCCAGAAAGTGGCAGAGGATTACGTCAGTGTGGCTGCCTTCCAGGTGATGACAGGTGTGTGCTTCCCTAGCCTTTACAGAGACTTCCCCTAGGCCCACAGCACCAAGCGCCCTGTACCAGTTACCTGGACCCCCCAACAGAATGGTGCCAAGCTGCCACCTTTCTCTTTGACAGAGGACAAGGGCGTGGATCTGGGCCAGAAGGCAAACCCCTATTTCTACAGCTGTTGTCATCACTGAGTCACGACTCACCTGGCCTGGGGAATTAAAGGAATTCCCCAAAGGGGCCAGACCCAGCTCTTGTCTGGGCTTGGGTGGTCAAATGTTTGAGCCACCCCAGGTCCCCATGGCAGCAGAGGTGGCACCTGCCTGTGCTGGCCCATGGAACAGAGGCAGCATTGGGCTGACTGTGGGCATGAGGAGGGATAAGGGCTGATTTGGACCCCAGGCTTCTGCCCTGGACAGCACTTGTGTCTGCAGATTATTTAAGTGGCTTCTGATCTGTAAATAAAATCAATGCACTGTGAATCACACTCAGCCCCTTTCCATGTTGTGTGGATTGGGTATCTAGACACCTAGTTCTTTCTGGGGCCACTTGGCTGGCCTTACTTTTTATATTAAGACTCCTCCCATCTCGTTTTCTTGTGGAAACCAAAACTTTGGCCGGGATTATGGCTGAGATGCCAGAGAAACAAAGGGCTCTTTCCGTGTCATTAGTGGGGGCAAAGATAGGGTGGGAGACTGGCTGGGGCAGCTCAAAGCTCACAATTCCTTTTGGGTGCTAAGAAAAGCACTTAAGTTATGTCCAAAGATAAAAGGGTCAAGCACTCCTACCTCAAGACAGGTTTATCTGGCTTGCTCTACTGCATCCGTCATGTTTGGGCCCACAGTCAGGCCTGTGATTCAGGTCCTGAGCTTCTTGGTGACATCCTACAATGTGGTTTAATGGTAGAAAAGGCTTCAGTTCTGCAAGACAGAAAAGTCTTATGGATCCAGATTTGGATCCAATTCAGCTACTAATTTAGAAACGGGGCTTGAGTTTCTAATTTGTAAAATGAGGTGACTACTGCCTAACCCAAGGACTGTGAAGGCCTTAAGTGAAAAGTAACTCCAGAACTAATAAATGCTTTTCCTGCTCTTCCCAGGGCATTTTGCTGAAAGGGCAGGAAGTTCAGGACTAGGTCAGAAGCCCACCAAAGTCCCCCCAAAGTATTAGGCCTTGAAGGTTCAAATTTCTGAAGGATCAGGTGTTACTGTAAACAGGCTTGACACCTCCCCTTCAACCAAAAGGAAATGCATTTGCCGTTGCTTTCCTGCTTTTTAGGCTTGGGCCGAGCCCTCTACAATACCCCCAACACCTGTCTCTGCAGAATTTAAAACTTAGCCAACACAGTCAGACTTAACGCTCACAGACATAGAAAGTGCATTGGTTCCACTTCCTTTTTAAAACCAATACCTCAAAATACCCTTCCTTCATGAGTGAAGAAGGCTTCCTGTGGAGGGATACTGAAACTGACACCAGCCACTCCCAACAGGAGAGAAAGAGGCCTGGGCAGCCATGGCTGCTGGGAGGAAACCCACACCACTCCCATAAAGTGCTTAGAGGAAGGGCTTAGTTCCATCGTGTCTCCCCCCACCCCCTCAGGGAACTATCTCTGGGGCTGACTTCTGCTCTCACCCCAAACCAGTCCTCCCTTCTGTTAGGCTACATCTCCCCACGGACAATAAAACAAAACACAGGGCAAGGGCCATATGAGTAAAGTTAAACTTTACTTTACAGTAATTTTTTTCTATATACAAAGAATTACAGTACATGTTTATGGGGACTCCTAGCACAGGGCTCCCCTCTTTTTCACTAGGAGTTTCACTTACAGCTGACAACCTATGGGGGTGGGGCAAAAAAAAACAACGATGGATCTTGGCTGACCACCCCTCCCCCACGGTCCTTTCTTAAAAATATAAAGATAGATCTCTATCGTCAGCTTGTTTCTTTGCCAAGACCTAGGAAGTTGCTCTTCCATGAGCTCCTGTGTGCTGCACTCACCCATCTTCAGCACACCCTCACCTACATGCACACACAGGCAGCACCCACCTCAGACCTGGAGACGGCCTGCCTCTGCCCTGCCCTGCCCTGCCCCGCCCCGCCCCGCCCCTGGAAGTCTAAAGCACCAGAACCATTCGTTTCTGCTCCTACTCCCTGTGCTCCTCTCTTGTCTGCCAAGCTTTCCTTAGTTTCCAGGGCCTTACTTAGACCTGAAGCCCCTCAATAGCCTGATGTTTTGAAAGTCACAGGAAAGCAGCTCTAGAGAAGGGACCACATAAGAGTTGAACATGTGCTGTCTTTGCTTATGTTGGTAGGAAACACTTCTTCTGAGGATGTGGATTTCTAATTAAAATAAATTCTTTCCATTTCCTTAGAAAATATCACTCTTAATCTTCATAAGCAATAGAGCTGCTTCCATGAGAGTGGAAGAGGTAGAGACAGGCCGAAGGGAACCGAGGGAGCCCCAGCGCCCAGAGCTCTCTACCAACCTGTTCCAGGCAGTGTGGACGGAGGCTAGGGACAAGGTGACCAACCTCAGCCCCAAGAAACTCAATGGCCACCTTCATCTCGATACAAGATCTCTTCTCCCTCTGGATTGCACTGGCCTACTCCAGGGCTGGGTGCAGGCTTCACTGAGGCTCTGCCTTCTCCCCCACTCTAACAAAGCCTCAAAGAAACCTTTCTCCATAAAGTCTTTCTCCCTGACAGGAACCCGGGTTTCTTAAGTTGCCAGTCCCTCAACCCTTGGCAGTGCTTTATTTATACCATGAGATTAGCACCATCATTACATTTTTGTGTACAAAACAATGATCTATTCTTACTTTAATTTACACTACAGCAACCTCTGGCCCTGCTGCACTGGCCCTAGGAAGCTCAGCTGAGAGCTAACTGGCTACAGCCAAGGAAAGTCTCATGCAGCAGCTACCTAGCTCTACATGATCTGGAATGTCTAACACATGGACAGCTCAAGCGTGACTCAGCAGGAAAAGGGGCTTGAGGCAGCTCCTCTCCTGCCATGATCTTGGAGAGATTAGGATACCTGGGCCCCTATGCCCTCTCGGCTGACAAACCCCAAGAGGACGACAATATAAAAAAAAGTTTTAGGAGAAAACCTGCTTTACAGGAGCTAAGGGTAAAACCCATCCAAGTTTCATGCTCTCCTGCTTACTCTTCATGGGTGAAGCTGCCAAGACCAAACTTCCTTCCTGCCTTTATGTTCTCCCGGGGCAACATTAGAACTACAATCTGGGAGTCCAGCTCCAGTGAGTAGATGATGCTGAGCTGGAAAAAGGATCACTAGGAACTACATGCCTTGACCTTAGTGTTGGATGGAGGATGTGAAGAATAAAATTATTATTTTCACCAATGCTAAAGATGTGGATTTACTTCAGAAAAGGATGAACTCAGTGATTTAAGTCATCTCAAACTCAATGACTTTCAAGCAGATGTTTAACATGAATGCTTTTGTAGCAATGACAGTTATTTTTCCATTAGACTGGGTTGGCTCCAGCAGGAGAAGCAAATGAGGCTCTGAATACAGATTTCAATAGTTTCCATATATTTTTTCCCAACTTAACAGGACGAGGAGAGGTACTGGTTTTATAGCTACCCATGGAGCATTTCAACCTTTCGTTTGCCCCTGGAAAAGGCTTCCTGGTGAGCTGGCTCCGAGGCAGACTCTTAAGACCTCAATCAAACACTTACCCAAACACACAAATATCATCCTACACAAGGATCAGAAGTTTCTAAGATAAAAGATTTCCTTTTGACTGCAATTCACACCCTCTTGGAAAAAGGGTCTCATTATAGGCTTCAAGAGAAGTCTCACAGGGGCTGGCAAGGTCACTTCCCACCTTCATACGAGAGTATTGTTTCCCAACAGTTGTTTTGACTCTGCTTCTAATTGGATCATGACTGCTTTTTAGATTTTAATAATCTAGTACCAGATTCTGCTATCAGTGGACCCAATAATTCAAATTTCTAGTTTCCATTCAATGGCCCTGAACAGAAGCCTGGCTGTTCATTCATTCAGATAAAGAGCTGTCCCCCAAAACCAAATATGGCTCAGAAGCTGTTTTTCCAGGCAGGTCTGGAATGAAGCCTCCAGTGAATGGTGGAGAATGGAAAAAACCAAAACACAACCACAAAGCGGCCAATCATGGCCCCCTTTCCCTCACCCTGTCCTGTCCTGTGAGACATAGCTAGACCGCTGTCAAGTCAATTACCTACCAAAGCCTACTTCAGAGAAGCTACTTCAGGATCAAACTTCTCCACTTAAAATTTTTACATAGCCTGCACACCACCCACCCAAAAAATTCACAGTTTATTTCATGAAACAAAGAGCTACGGTAATTTAACACACAACATAGTGAAAGGAGATTCTGACAGTGCAGTGCAGAAATCTTTTTCCGATCACAACTACAGATGACAGGAGAGAAAGGGCACAGGACTGGCACCGAGCAAAGCCTACTCATACAACCTAAGAGATTAGGGAAAGGGGCCTACTAGCTGCAGTTATATACTTATTATTCTCACACATGATAAATACTTAATATAATGAACTTTAATGTTCTGGGTGAATTTCTTTAAAAATAGTTTTTTCATGGTTTAAAATTCTTTTAAAAGAAAATAAGATGCTTTATGTTTTCTCTTCCTTTTGAACAAAGAGCTTTTCCTCTTTGACGATGTGGCAAGAGAGATAGGATGAAAGGGGAGAACTAGGCAGGTGGAATTCACAGAGGAGATTCCGAGGTCTCAGTGAATGCAGGGGATAGGCCCCCAAACTTGGGACAGCCCTGCCCAGCCTCGTCCCTCTGCCTGAGTTCATGTGTCTCAACTTCAGAGACAGACTTTGGGAAATAAAAGCAGATTCTATTTTTAATCTTTCTATAAAGCGCAAATGCTTCTATAACAACTATTGTTCCCTCCTTGAAAGTGATGGGAGTGACCTCAATAGGAACTTGGGATGAGGAAGTCAGGACCAGATACAGAATCCTGTTGAGGACGTAAAAGCCGTACGTAATTGAGACAGACTGGCCAGGAGACCTTTGGGCCAAGGGATGGCCTGTTGGCTAAAGCTGCTAAGTTGGCAAAGCAGAGAGGTAAACGTTGGTCTAAGGACAAAGGATGGGTGGGTAAGGGGAAGGAAACTAGCCAAACAGCACTTCCTGTTGGCAGTCAGTGAGCTGGGTGAATGGTAGGGCAGGGTAGCACCAACAGATTTCCCAGCCCTTGGGCCCCAGCTCAGGGCAGCAGTAACAGATAATCAGCAGTTATGAGGAGTCATCTCTTAGCCTGGACATTGCTCTAAACAACATATCTCTCCAGTCTTAGAAGAAGGGTTCTGGCTTGCCTTTGAGCTAAGTCAGCAGGCAGGTGTTCTCAATAAGAGAGCCCAGCAAAATTCTCAGGGAGGTGAAGAAGAGGATACCCTCTACTCAGGAGGGCAAAGGATCAGGGGAAAAGTAATTTCCCATCAGGACCTGGTACTCTTCCTGAAGCTGGTGTGTCTAGCTCAAGCTTGCCAGAGATTCCCTACGTCCACTGCCCGAGACTCTGAAATCTGAAAGCACCTGAGTGTTTGGGGGAATGGGGATGGGGTAGGATCATATAAAAGGAGGAAAATCGGTGGAAAAGAAAATTAAGCTTGCCAATTGCCTTCTTCCACTACTGGAAAACTATATTTTCATAGAGCCCAGCTCCCACTAACCACCTGCTCTTCCAAAGTCAGATCTTCAGACTCTGCACAGCCCAGACAGAAGCAGCAGAGACTGCCCCAGCCAGGAGCCCCCCTTGGCTTTGATGCAGCACCCTTCTGTCTACAGAGGAGACCTCTGTATAAATACGCGTGCACCCATGGACACCCCAACCAGGAGACACTTACTCAACACAACCACTTCTGGTGCCACAAAGGACATTTCAAAATGAATCTGGAGTCTCAGGGCCCCTCAGAACTTCCTGTTATTTCCTGGTCAAAGGTTCTTAAAAACAGCCTCGGAACCCAGGCAAGCATGTTAGGCTCATAAGAATTAGGCCTTATTTATCTCTGTAGCTCTCATCAGTGACTAGCACCTGGCCTAGAACACATGAATGCTCAGGAAATTGCCACTGATTTGAATGAAGATCATTAACTCCCAAGGGTTCCACAGGTGCCCTCAATAGGGCTCTGTTGGGTTGGGGAAATTGCTTTGAGAGCCCCTATACCTTCCAACCTGAGCAGCGGAATTGAATTCCATGTTGACTCCAGAGTGGACTTTTTATTTCACGTTGATCATGTGTAAAAAGTTGGGGGAAAGAGACCCAAGTCTGTCTGTCTCCTTGGCTGGGGCCACTTGGATTTTCATACATGGTTCACACAACCACAAACCCCCACTGGCTAATATCACAAGAGTTCTGAGTGTTGGGATATAAGGAAAGAATAACAGTGGGAAAGTGTGGGGTAGATCTGTTTTTTTTAAGGGGGGAAAAAGAAAGAAAAGATTTCCCCTCCCCAAATGGTACCCTGGGGGCAGCATGTCTGTTCATGTGACATTTACTGGTATTACTTCTGTTCTGACTCTGCGAACTTGTGACTGGAAGGAGCCTGGTTAAGAGCTGGAAGTGTATTTTGCTCTGGTTTGGGGTCTTGCCCTCTTCCAAGAGACCAGCAAGTCTGTGCCAATGTCTGTGTGCTCCCAGCGGACCAGCAAGACTGTGCCAGTGTCTGTCCAGCCACCATGGGCCAGAGCCCTGCCCCTGGTGAGGCTTTTCCCAAGGCCCAGGGACTCTGCTCTGTGGTTGCCAACTTCTTCTCTTCAGTGGGGAGGGAGACTGGGGCCTTCCCGAGAGACCTATAGGACTGCCCACTCTTGGCAGCAAGTCCAGGTAGTTGGTGGCCTCCGACCACCTGCTTCGCCTGCTTCCCCAGGCCCAAGGGTTGGATAGGAGGCCCTGGGGTCTGCTCAGCCCCTGCAGCTCTTCCTGAGGCCTGGGTTGCTGGCTCATATAAAAAGGCCTTGGCAGGAGGCTGAGAAAGCAGTCTGGCCTGGGTGAGTGATTTAACAGCTTGCCAGGGGTGCTCTGAAGGGGTCGATGTTTTCCCAGATGGCTGAAGACGAGACTCTGACATGCTGCCTTTCTCAACAGCTCTCGGCATATGTCCCAGACCTTTGTTGGCAGGCCATGGGCTTGACTCCAATACCGGCATCTTCTCATCAGCCTGTGCTATGACCTCATGAGGAGAAGATGCTCGCTCCTTCTGGCGAGGAGTTAGATCTATGAGATCCATCACCAAAGCAGCTCTATTCTTTGACTGAGTATTCTGGTCCACAGGCCTCAGTGCTTTTTCTTTTGCTACCAGCGTCTGGACCACAGCTGATAGTACTTTCTCAGGAGGTGGGAGTCTCTGGGACAAAGAGGCATGGGATTTGTCTGGGGGCCTGTCTGAAGTCTGGGGTTTGGGACTGCTGGGAATTAGCAGTCTGTCTGGCGGCGGAAGTCTCAGGCCAGTGGGGACTGGGGTTTTCTCCAGTGACTGGGGCCTTGAGCTGGCAGCACCTATGGATTTATCCAGCCTTGGGTCAGCTGTCCCCAGAGGTCTTTCCAGTGGTTGGGAAATGACTGAGGGTGAGGAGCTTGGGCCGGTCACTGAAGAGGGTTTGTCAGACAGCTGGGGTCTTGGTCCTGCCATGGCAGGTGGCCTGTCCAGTGGCCTCTGGCTGGGTATCAAGGATTGGGGTTTGGTCCCTGACCCAGCAAGGTCTCTGACCCTATCTAAAGGCTGGGGCCTGGAGTCAGTTCTCTCAAGAGGTCTTTCAGGTAGCAGTGGCCTCTGACAAGTTCCTGCCAGAGCTTTTTTGGAGAGTGACAGCATCTGGTTAGTGTCAACAGGTGGCTTATCTGACATCTTGGGCCCCTGAGCAGCCATTCCTGATGATTGCTCTGCCGGGTGGGTGCTTGGGCCTGCAGGCAGTGGTACGGGAGGAGGCACATACTCACGGATCTCCCCTGGTTCCAGAGGGTTGGGCCCACAGGGGTCATGCTCAGTACAAGACAGACGCCCATCCAGTTTGGAAATGAAAAGCATCCCTTCTCGATGTTGCTTGCAAAAGGAGCTGGGGCACATCTCACAGAAGGAGGCTGCTTCCTTCCCACAGATGTCACACTGATGCCAAGGACACTCCCATTTCCCTGAAAACACAACAGTGAAACAAAAGCTTAAGGAAAAAAGAGATGCATGTGAGTTGGGCCACAGCTCTGGGATGGTCCAAAGGTGAGAATGCAGATGATCCTCCTTCACACTGCCCCCACTTCACACTGCCCCCACTTCACACTGCCCCCACTTCACACTGCCCCCACTTCACACTGCCCCTGTTTCAGAGATCTTATGCCACTCACCTGCCACCTCCTGCCCTAGAACAACAGCTTCCTCTTCTGCACAGAATACATTAAGTAATAGCGAAGTATCAAATAACAACTATTAATAGAATCACCCTGAATATACAAGCATAGTAGTAAATCCACACTTCTATGACTATTTCCAGCAAGGAAAACAAAAACAACACAAAGCTGCTCTCAGAAGAAACATTTTGATATTACTTTCATGTTTTTGTAAACTCCTTTTGTCCTATATAGCTTTTTCTTTTTTAGTAGAGACATGGTCTTGCCATGTTGACAAGGCTGGTCTTGAACTCCTGGCCTCAAGCAAACATCCTACTTCGGACTCCCAAAGTGCTGGGATTACAGGCGTGAGTCACCACATCTGGCCCTATACAGCTTTTAAATATTCAATTCCAAGAGAAACATCCCAGCTATTTAGATTCCTGTTTATTTGGTTATTAACAGGAATAGGAAAGATACACAATTGTGAAAAATGGAAACAGATTTACCTTTGCTGAATTTTACGTCTTGAAATCAGCACAAAATGTTACCTATGTGGTCCAGAAGGAATCATTGGAAAAGACCCCAAATCGAGCTTTTATCTTTTTACCCCCATTTCATGAGACAAGAGTCTTGACCATGGACAGTGTTTCTATCCCCAATTAAACTATGCTACACCTTGCTCTTGGCACACAGGCATGATCAACTCTATCGTAGCCTATGCCAGTGATGGCTCTGAGTAATTGATTCTGAAACAATTCCATTTCTTGGCACTGATGAGTCAATGTTACGGGCTTGTTCTCATTCTTCTTCAATTTCTATTCTTTCATCACCCTGGCCGATACACAATGAAGGACAATCTTTTTACTTCTACCTCGAAGTTCTCTACCTTCTATAATTCTGGGAAGCAGGCCACTCATAATGTATAATCTTACCCTGGAATGATTCCCTACTAGTTTCTCTTTTTTGCCCTTTAAAATACAATGGCATATCCAAATCCCTAAAATCCTCTAACACCAAATCACCACCCAAAGGCTATACACTTCTCCAGCCACAAATTCCTGGTTAGTATGTCCACCTGGGCAGCTTTCATATGTGTTAACTGACATAATCACATCTCCTTCACAGGAAAAAGTCTACTTTGCAAGGGAAGAGATCCCACTAGGGGGATGAGAGCATGGTAGGGAGTAGCTAATAGGGTGGCAATCTGTCTCTTACCAAAACAACCCAAAGGCTATACTCTGTCCCAGCCTTTCTTTCTCTGGAAAGGTAACATGATATAGTAGCCTTGGAGTGAGAAAACCTGGCTTTCAACCCAGCTCCTCCATCTATTTGTGAAAAGTAATCTCACCAATCTGACTCTGTGTTTCCTCTTAACATGGAAGAAAAATGACCTTTATGGGTTGCTGGAAGGATGAAATAACGTAAATGTAAGTAAAGTTCTTGATACACAGTAGGTTGGTTTCTGTTCCTTTCTTTATAATCAAGGATTTTAAGCCTCTATTGTCATTTATTTCCAGAATAAGAGCATAGACCACACCCTTCAACAATATGCATGGGCACTTTCTTCCAGACTGAAGCAAATGGCATGAGACCCTGGATATTCTGTCAAAGAAGGAGCACTCTGAATGGATTCTGGCACCAACCTGCTGGTCGCTTGGTTAGATTGAGACAGTCTGCGTGGTAAACTTTTGGGCAGCCAGGCTTCTTGCAGGAGACAAGCTGGCCAGCGTCCCCGCAGCTAAAACACTCATCCTCTCGTTCCTTAGTGATTTCACCCTGGGTCCTGCGCTTCCCCTGTTGCTTCTTCTTGAATTTCTTTGACTTTTCTTCTGTGGCAATCGGTTGATTCTAGAGGTCAGATATTGAGCAGTCAGCATTCTGTCAATGTATTAGTACTAATCTTTACCAGGTTAACTATTCTCTCTGAGCCTCAGTCTCTTCTCTCAGAAAAGACAGTCCACATAGACTGTCATGAAGACAAAATGTAGGAAAGGCACCTGACACATCATAGATACCCAATAAATGTAAATGGCAGCACTGATTACCACTTTTGTATCAATTAACTACTCCTGCCACATGAGCAAAACAGAAAAGGCCTTATGTGTTTTTGTTGACAAAACTGGTGTTAAATGTCACCCTTTCATAAATTTTTATGTTTGTCTAATTTCAAAGTTAAAGAAGACTGCTCTGTGTGCGCACGCACATTTCTTGTTTATTTAACAAACTTTCACTGAACACTTTCTACGCACCGTGTGTTAGGAAGACACAAAAAATTCATGGTCCTTGTCCTAAAAAAGACTATGCATCTTTAAATCAAATGAGGTAAATGTCCACCACTCCCAAGACCGACCCTGGTGCAACCAGAGGGCTCCTCTGTGTTCATGCAGGCCACACTTGGTCACCAAACCCTGTGGCTTTCATCAGAATATTCATTTTAGCTTAGAAACATACAGGACCAATCTACAGGGCTTAATAAAGGTCCTTTCCATTCTAACAGGCCAATGTTTATTAACAACTCACAGTGATCTACCATTTCTAAACTTCTTTCCCAACATTTCTCTCCCACTGATTCATATGAGACCGCAAAGATGCAGAAACTGACATCCCCAGTGCACCTAACATCATTAACTATGGGTTAAACTCAATTACTATTTTAATTCATGGAAACAACTGACTTCTTAAGGAACAAGACCATTAAAACAACCAACCAACCAAACAACCAAAAAGCAAAACAAAACCCCATATAATATGGAGATGACTTTCCTTATTTAACAAGATAGAAGAATAACTAGTGGGTATTCTTCGTTTTCACATGTTATTGCTCAAATAACTTTTCTTATTGGATTCTACAATAATTTGCATTTTTCAGTTCTTAATGTTGAGCTTCATAATCAAATAAAACATCAAAGGAAATAGCCAGTTGGAGTCACTGTGTAGTCTACTTAGCATGAAAATTAAACTTCAATTTTCAGTGTGCAGTTACTTATGACAGAGAAACCTGAAGCATCCAGATGTTCATCTATTATGTCCATCCATTGTATAAAAATTAAAGTCAATAAAAATCATAGTTAAGAGAATTATGTAACAGCAAGGAAATATTTTTATAATATTTAAGAAAAGCAGGATACAGACTTACAAACAATTAATAGAATTATAAAATTATAATTCAGTTAAAATGCACACAAAAAAACAGGAAGTAAGATACATTTATACTTTGTTACAATGTTGAAATTAAGAGTCCTATTTTCTCATCCGTGGTATTTTACTACATTTAGAACCTTAAATTCAATTACAGATTCTTTGATATCTTTAGAAAAAGCAAGAGACAGACAGGCACAGATATACCAAGAATCTAAGTAGCTTATTAGGAGATATGAGTGAAATAAGGTGAGATCAACAATGAGGTGGGAGGTAACCAAAGAAGTTTCTATTTTACAGCTTTCACAGCTAGAAAATATTACCAATTAAAGTCAGATTGCTTAAAACACTCCAACAATACCGAAAGACCCTCTCTTGTGTAACTCAACTGACATCAAATTGCTTAGTAAATTGCCAGTGGCCCTATCGATACCTATTCATGTCATTATTTTAAAAGAATATCTTCTTACAATGAAGACTGAGCCCTAACACTGTCAGAGATGGAGGACTGCACCACTATTCCCAATGCAAAGGTCTGGAATGGTGGTACCTTTGGCCTAACACCCAAGAAGCCACTGCAGTTCGGGGCTCCACATTTGCAAACGGTCTTTCCATTCCCAAGACATTCGAGGTTGTAGTTGAAGGTAAGTTCAGTGCCTGCATAAGAGACCGTAAAAATATTAATATCTATGGTTTTAATTACATTATTTCTGTATTAATTACAAAGGATACCAAGTTCCAACAGATTAATTTTAAAAAGGGAATTTTTAAAAAAAGATTTAACTAATCCCACCACTATATTAACAAATTCTAATCCTATAACATTATTAAATCGCTAATACAACTTAATAACAGAAAAACTGAAATGGCTTAACAAGTAATATTTAAGATAATTTTTACTATAGACGTGTTGATTTTAACTCAAGCTGTTTTTCATTTGTTTTCTAACCACTCAGATTCAAAATGTATTAATTCATTACCAAAAACAAATAAAAACTTACTCTATATCAATGTGCCAGGCACTGGAAATTCAAGTATGAAGAAAACCTGTTAGTCTGCGCTCCCCAGGTGAACACACCTTACCTGGCAGCACTCAGGAGGAAAGCAGAGTAATACTAGAAAGATCTAGATCAGAAACTGGCCATATATCCCAGTTATGCCGCAACTTAGCTTGGGGAATCAGAACCATGAGTAGCTCTTTTTTTTTTTTAACCACACATATACACACAAACAAATTTTTATCTTAGAAAGATTTAGAAATAAGAGTGTAAAATTTTTCCTGAATTGCACGCAAACAAGTACGAAAAATGAAACTATGGGTTGGGTGCAGTGATTCACGCCTGTAATCCCAGCACTTTGAGAGGCCAAGGCAGTATGATTGCTTGAGGCCAGAAGTTTGAGACCAGCCTGGAGTAGCCCATTTTTTAAATAGAGAAATAACAATCTCACAAGTTTATTGAAAGAATTCCATAGCAGTAATTTGCAAACTTAAAAAAGAGGTTTACAGATTAAGATACAAATTGTCCCCTTTCTGTCAAAGGTACATTTCATCAAACTGTGTGAGCAAATAAAACACACAAACATTCAAACTCAAAGCATATAACTCTCAACCTGTTAGGGAAGGCCTAACAGATACAGGAATTTTATGTAAATATACGAAGAGGTTGCCTCTGGGTGGGAGTAACCGGCTTACAGCTAATATGAGGTGACGGCCGTTTATATTCAAAACTGCCAAGTTTTGGCCAGGCTCGGTGGCTCCCACCTGCCATCCCAGCACTTTGGGAGGCTAATGCAGGAGGACTGCTTGAGGCCAGGAGTTTGAAGCCCTGTCTCTTAAAAAAAAAAAAATCAAAAATTCATCCTGAGAGGCAGGTGGAAACAAAACAAAACAAAGAAAAAACAACATTGTCAAGTCTTAGGAAGATTTCCCATTGCAGACTGACATACCTTTTATCAGTGAGACTAATACACATAGTTTTTCATCTAGTGTTGGAAACAGATTATTATTTCTTTATTCAGTTGAGCAAAATATAAAGCAGCTGTCTTATATTTAGTGGTCACGTTGCAGGAAAAGTAGAATCATTTATAGCCAGGTGAGAGGTTCACACCGTAAGGAGCTTGCAGGAACCCAGACTGACGAAGCTAACAGCAGGGGCACAGCTCCCATCTTACACCTGCTGTGAATTTACTGAATTAAATGTTGGGTGATTTTATTAACAGTATTCTTATCAAAAAAATGTATGAGTATGTAACTAAACTCTTATAGATTTGATATGCTTGTAAGGCAACTCCACCATATACACAAATGTAAGATTGCAGGATACTTGGCATAACTTGCTGCTCACAAACATACACTATGTAAATCACACAAGGAGTTAAACTAAATCAGAAGGTATCAGCACTCATAAAGGAAACACTGATATCATTCTAGAAAAGAGTTAAATATGCAGTCATCTTTGATGGATCTGCAGTTATCGAGGATGGCAAAGAGCATCAGAAAAGAGATAAACAAGAAGTGAGGATAACAAATGTGGAAGATAGTGACAGGTATGTGAAGAGCCAGGCAGTAGGATGAAAATCCTGACTCCATTTCTCCAGGCACTCAGCCTGACATTTACCACATGCTTTCTCATTTTGCCCATCTCATCCATGCATACTATAAGTGAGGACAGGAACAAGGTCTATCAATTTTGACAACAAACTACTGAGCTGAGTGAATGTAGGAGAATAGAGAAGAAAAATTTGTGGTTAGACATAGTAGGCGGCCTTTCCTGTGGAAATGGACTGAAGGGTCTGAGTAGAATTGTGGAACTGACAGAAGTCTACCTACGTAACAGCATTTCTGCAAGGATTAAATGAGATAATACGCTTAGAATAGTATCTAGTATAAGATATATTTACTATATTGGTCCTATTACAAAGCAGAAATCTATACATTTTAGTCTGAAGTCATGCATTCCAAAAACTTAAGACAAGTCAGTATTTTAAAAATAAGTATCAAGCAGAGTGCAGTGCATAGTGATGCTCAAGCGTTGTTTAATTATTTACTACTTTATCAGTGGTCCCCAACCTTTTTGGCACCAGGAACCGATTTCATGGAAGACAATTTTCCACGGTGGTGGGGTCGGGGGGATGCTTTCGGGATGATTCAAGCGCATTGCATTTATTGTGTAGTCAAACCTCTCTGCTAATGATAATCTGTATTTTCAGCCAGCCACTCCACAGCGCTAGCATCACTGCCTCAGCTCCACCTCAGATCATCAGGCATTAGATTCTCATAAGGAGCTGCAACCTAGATCCCTCAATATGCACAGTTCACAGTAGGGTTCACACTCCTAAGAGAATCTAATGCTGATCTGACAGGAGGCGGAGCTTATGTAGTGATGTGAGCCATGGGGAGCAGCTGTAAATAACAGATGAAGAAGCTTTGCTCACTCACTCACTCACCCACTGCTCACTTCTGCTGTGCCACTCACTTCCTGCTCTGCGGCCCGGTTCCGAACACAGCATGGACCGCTACCAGTTCCCAGCCTGGGGTTGGGGACCACAGCTTTACATGAAGCAAATTGTTTACAAAACAGAGAAAGGAACTATTGGCTCAATTTCTAAAATCTGAAAATTGTCAAAACCTTGAAAATTCTAAAAAGCCTGAAAAAACTCCTGGGCAGCATATTTAAATTGTAGAGACAAAATACATTGGGTGTGAGAGTGCTGGGAAGAGAACTCCCACAGACTAAATTTTAAAACTGAAAACAAAAACAGGGCAGGAGCTAACCACATTGCTTTTTAATTATTTCATCTTGATTAATGCTTCCTGAGGTCAACAATGCTGACTAGGCAAAAGAGAACTTAGGTCTTCTTCCAGATTGCTCATACAGGATTTCTGCTTCAACAGTAATTGTATAATACAAACTACCTAAGCTAGTTCCATCTCAGTTTGAGTATAGGAGAGTGATCTTCAACTGTTTTGCTCATGTCCCTGCAAAATTCATTTTGAAAAACCATATACTTTCTTGTACATTTCAAAATTCACAAATTTTACACAAGTCTTGATATTTAAGAAGTCATGCAATTTTGAAGGTATCAGATATGCCTATGTATATATATATAAAATAGTTACTGTTTTTTTCTAACCACTAGACCACCAGGGATTAAAACAGTTTTATCAAAACCTTGAAGCTGTAGATTAAGATCCTTTAATTTATGGAAAACATCCATCATATAACTTTACTATTAAACCACTCACCATTGTCAGATTTACTTTCAATTCAAATAACATCTTATTTGGTGTTATTACTTAATCTGGTTACAACCATCTCTGCACTCTAATTCTTAGAGACACAAGCACCCAGGCAGGCCGTGACAGAGCAGTGCGTTCTCTGCTGTCTACTTCTTTGGCACCCCAGAGGTGAGGGTTTTTTTGTTTTTAAAAATAGCCTTGGGGCCGGGTGCGGTGGCTCACGCCTGTAATCCTAGCACTCTGGGAGGCCGAGGTGGGCGGATCGTTTGAGCTCAGGAGTTCGAGACCAGCCTGAGCAAGAGCGAGACCCCGTCTCTACCAAAAATAGAAAGAAATTAATTGGACAACTAAAAATATATAGAAAAAATTAGCCGGGCATGGTGGCACACTCCTGTAGTCCCAGCTACTCGGGAGGCTGAGGCAGTAGGACTGCTTGAGCCCAGGAGTCTGAGGTTGCTGTGAGCTAGGCTGATGCCACGGCACTCTAGCCCGGGCAACACAGTGAGACTCTGTCTCAAAAAAAAAAAAAAAAAAAAATAGCCTTGGGTCCATAACCCTTAAGACTTGAGAGGTGAAATTTTTGGTTTATATAGTGGGAGAAGAGCAATTGTAGAAAGGAAGGTAAGAAAGGAGACCTGGAAAGACGGCATTTTCTAAAGCAGACCAATTATTGGGGAGTTCATATAAAAGTTAAAGGTCTGAGAATTTATTCCATTAAAACCACACATGCCCAACCCTGAAGCATTATGTTAAGAGAAATGAGCTAGTCGCAAAAGGACAAATAGTGTATGATTTCATTTATATGAGGTACCTACAGTAGTCAAATTCAGAGACAGGAAGTAGAATGGTGGTTGCCAGGGGCTGTAGGGAGAGGGGAGAATGAGGAGTTAGTGTTTAATGAGTACAGAGTTCAGCTGGGGAAGATAAAAAGAGTTCTGGAGATGAATGGTGGTGATGACTACGCAACAATGTAAATGAACTTAATGCTAGAGAACTATGCACATAAAAATAGTTAAAATTATAGATTTTATATTTATTTTAACACACACATCCCCCTACATACAAAATCCATGCCCAAGGACCACCTGGCAAGTCTTCATATTTCCTCAGGAGCTTGGAAACTTCACATATTGGCATAGAGGACATAAGGGATTTTTAGATGATAACACCTGAAATTTGGATCTTAGCTTCAGAATCCTTAAATGATTCTTACCTGCTTTAATGTCACTCAGGGCAAAAAGGCCAACACGGGTATCTCCATTGACAGACCACTTCTGTGTTTCACAGTTGGGCTGGCAGCAATGATTCATGAATCGAGCATAGTTTCCCTTGGGACCAGCATCAATGATTCGGTCCTAGAATTCCAAGAGAAGCTGCTTATCGGACTTCCTGAGACCTCTGCTATTGATTAAAATTTGACTATTCTAATAAGCTGGAATTCCTATTTGTAAAGTTTGAATCTCCCAGAGTAGTGATTCTTAGTGTGATCCCTGGGATCAACAGAACCATCACCACCTAGCTAGTTGTTAGCAATGCAAATTCTTGAGTTGTGCTTCACATATACTAAAGCAGAAACTCTGGTGGAGTGCAGCAATCTGAGTCCAACAAGACCACCAGGTAATTCAGATTTATGCTGCAGTTTGAGGACCACTGTCATAGAAACAACAGCTTGTCCCATCCTCTAATTAGAAGTTTTCAACCCGGATGGACATTGGAAATCACCTAAGGAGATTTAAATACTGAGGCAGAGTCCCCATCCCAACCTAGAATATCTGGAGGTGAAGACATCACAAGTCATGAAGTGCACAACTTGAGAAATGTTTACAAAGGCAAATACCAGGAAAGATTTTGTGATAAAAGCTAATGGATGAAGAAAAAAGTAGAACTTAATATTCAGGTACAAATAGGAATCACAAATACACAGAAAATATACACACTAGGATACTGGAATTAGGAATAAGTTCCCAAATGCAATTCTAGGCATCAATGAAATGAAACTCATCAGAAAATTCCTAAAATGAGAAAGGTGACTCAGGTCTTTAAATTGAGTTCTACAATCAATTTATATGACTTTTTTAAACACAATAAATATTAAAAAATCAGTTTCTCAATCTATAAAATAAACAGGCAAAAGAATGATTATTTACTTTTTTTGTTTCAACTTTTAATCCATTAGGAAAAATACTAAAAGATATACTCCCGAATTTACATTGAATCATTCGAAAAGAATGCTAAAAAGCAGCTTTTTTTGCTTTGGCCATGGATTGACCAATCTTACCTACTTGAGAACCCTGAACGGATAATCCCCACAGATAGGGGAAAAGACCCTGCTTTGGGCAATGCATGACATGCCTACACATGCTACGGCTGGGACAACACAAATCTCACAATCTTACGACAATGGAAACAGTACTTGCCACTACTTACCTTGTCTAGGGTGAGCATGTAGAAATTAGTGATATCGTGTTCTTGGGCATGACGGATTCGAGCTCTGCATTCTTCTTCATCTATTAGCTCGCCCACATACTCATTCACAAATTCACCCTAGAACAAGAAACAGCCCCTGACTTAATGGCAAAAAGCACATTGGCGATCACATGTACACTTTATTTTTTAAAAATTAATGAAAATATCAGATTCTCCAAAGCAGATTACATACATATAATTTTATGTAATTAGCTACTTTATGATGCCTCAACTATTTGATAATGAGAACCACCTCCCCACTCCCACCACTGCCACCAACAGAAAGATTAAGATACACTAGACATTAAAGATGCTCTAGAATGGAAGAATAGTAAGTAAATTAAAGCTTCCTTATAATGCAAATATGGATGGTCAATTCCTTTACTTGCTCAAGAACCTGAAAGTCAGTGTCCCTAAACTGTTCATCTTCCCTGCAGCTGCCCTGCCTACCACCCCTGCACATTTTACGCAACCATTCTCCCTACTCTACAGTCACACTGGCTTTCACACATGCTGTCCCCTTACCTGCAGGGCTTTAGTGCTCACCTTGCCTGAGCCAACAGCTATTCATCATCCAAGTCTCAACTTAAAATATCCTCAGAGACAAGCTAGTTTCAGGTCCTTTGCCACATGCTTCCAGAGCCCTTTATGCCCATCATTGGGTGGAGATTTATTCACTGTCTCTCCCTCTCTAGAATGTAAACTTACACAAGCATGGACCGTGCTTCTCTTATTGATTACTGCATCCTTAGCACAATGCGTGGCACATAGCAGATATATAAAATGACTAAACAGACAAACCCATATTCACTGCCTCTCCTAGAGAGAAATTTCAATAAAATTCTTCAGAAAGTATAACCAGAGTAAGGCTTATTTTATTATCAAATAAGACTTACTTTACATAAAGACTGTACAATCTTATCTATTTATTAGGAGCGTGCAGATCTTGCCAAGTTTCAAGTGGAAGATATTACTGCATTTTGATTCAATCAGACCTAACCCTCTTTTCCGTCATTTTCCATGAATCCAGACTCGTGTATGCCCCACTAAGAATATTTTATTAGTAGGTAATCAGCACCTCTGTATCATGTGCTCACTGTCCTCTCTTAACCACTTATCCTAGGATTTCCACAGAAAAGTTGATAGAGCCAGAGCTTTTCTATGAATTTCCCTCTTTTTTTCCATTTCCCTACATAACGAACATGATCAATTTAGATATAAAGGAGACCATCTATTCTCAAGCCTCTAAATTGTGGAAGGATATGGCAAGACACAATAAGGTTAATCCCTAAACTGTATTATTTTCCTCTATGTGAATTTTCTCACATTCATCAAGAAGAATTGATCATATTAAGTAACTGGAAAGAAGGGGAAAAAAGCTAACAGTTTTCTCACCTTTTTAATATCTGTTTTTGTCCGTAGACCCCAGCCCCTCTGTAATGTGCGGAAAATTTCCACCTCTGGATACTGGCGCTTGGAGAAGCACTGGTTTTGACAGCGCCCTCCAGCAGGACACACTGTGGGGTGGCACTCATAGAGCAGCATGCGATTGATGCATTCAGAGTCTATCCCACAGGGGTTCTCATCAGTAGCTTTACAGTTGCAACGGGGAATTTCAGACAAGTCTGCAGTGAAGATCTGTACCCTGCCAATAGGACGATTCACCTGGAGATGCAGCACACGGAATACAGTACATCAGACAAGTCAACACAAGATAATTCAGGCTCGGTAAAAAGGCACATTTCTCTTCCCTGAAGTTGCATGTCATGTTTTAGATGATTTTGAACTATCATGATTTAGGCAGTTTGACATATGAAAAATGAATCCCACGAAACTTTTAAAAATTCATTTAAAGAAATCTAAATTTCAAAGCTGGTAGGCCCAATGAATTGTAAATTAGATTTGTGCTATTGCCACACGGTGGCATCACATTAGCTGCTACATAAAAACATGCACTCCTCTTAAATGGGAAATTGTCAGCACAAAAACATTTGTCGGTAATTTGGGTTCCTATATACGAACATGTATTTTAATTATTTACTGCCATAATTTGCAATCTGTTAAAAGAACTATGGTAATGTCATTCATGCATTTATTTAGTAGTACTGAAAAATAGTGAACATTAGGTGAAACAAAACATGAAGGTCAAACAGCTGCTGTGATACCAAAACCATTTATATAGTTTTTACATATACTAACAAGAATGCTGAGGAAAAAAACAGAACAGATATTCCAATACAGAGATAGATTTGTGCATAGGAATGAGTGTCCCCTACTTGATAGTTCAGTGGGAACACTCAAATTGAGTCTTCAAATATACAATCCACACTTAAAATTTGACTATTCAGGCCAGGCATAGTAGCTCACCCCTGTAATCCTAGCACTCTGGGAAGCCAAGGGAGGAGGATCACTTGAGGCCAAGAGTTTGAGACCCTGTCTCTACAAAAAAAAATTAGCCAGGCGTGGTGGCCCTTGCCCATAGACTCAGCTACTTGCGAGGCTGAGGCAGGAGGATCACTTCAGCCCAAGAGTTTAAGGTTGCAGTGAGCTATGACAACACCACTGCACTCTAGCCTGGGTGACAGGGAGAGATCCCATCTCAAAAACAAACAAACAAACAAAACCACCTAAATAAAAAATAAAACTGACTATTCAGGAATTCTGTGATTTGGATAAATTACAGTACTTGCAAGACTGTTGGGAGAATAAGAAATATATGTAGAGGTATAATACAGAGTCCAGAAGCCTCTTAAACATGTTAGATGTAATTGAATTCTTTCCTCTTTTAACATCCCTTATAATTGTTTCCATCACATCAAATAGCCTAGACTACTAATTCTGGTCAATCTAAAAATCACTATTACTTAAAAATAAAAAGTTATTTCTGGCAGTCTCTCTGAACTTATTCTGGCTTGGGGGGGCTAGGGTCTGTCCAATTAAAAAAATGTTGACCAGGTGAGGTGGCTCACGCTTACAATCCTACCACTGTAGGAGGCAAGGCGGGAGGATTGCTTAAGCTCAGGAGCTTGAGACCAGCCGGATTATTAAGATCACAACTCACTGCAGCCTCAAACTTCTGAGCTCAAGCAATCATCCTGCTTCAGCCTCCAAAGAAGCTGAGACTATAGGCACATTTCCCCCATGCCCAGCTAATTTTCAAATTTTCTGCAGAGACAGGGTACCACCATGTTACCCAGGTTGTGAAAGCGGAATTTCACATAATCCTCATGTGTCACAAAATATTTTTTCTTTGTTAACCATTAAAAAATGGAAAAACCGCCAAGCTCATGGGCATTACGTACATATGCAGTAGACCATACTGGCCCACGAACCATAGTTTGCCAATACCTGGTTCAGATCCTTTTGCTGGAAATGTTTGGGGGAAAAATAAAAGTGGAGGAAAGAAGTTAGCCACTAAAGTCTATGACAGGAATTGCTCTCTCAATAGCTCAATATAGTTGATGTACGTCTCTAAAATGCCTACTTTGTGGTTATCTGTCACTGAGGACAATTATAGGTTTTGAAATTCTTCCTTTCAGCAGTTCTAATTATTTGTAAGGATTGATATTTCACGATTTTTATTCCTTCTTAGAGGTCTTCCAAAGATCAAAAAGAAAATGTACTTATTTTAAAAGAATAACTTACTCTGTCTTTTAAACACCATGTAAATTGTTCATTAGACCCCTTTTATAAATCTAAGATACAATATGGAAATTTATGTTCTTATATTTCCTATATAACATTTTACTATTTAACCACTATGCATTATTACTCATCAATGATTCACAACTATGTTGAAAAAGACTAATGAAAAAAATGGAAAAATGATGGCATCATATATATATATATGCACAATGAAATAGTGAAATAAACTCTCACACTTTAGATACCATCTTTGTGGTCTGCTTTTAGTACAGTTATCAGATTTAGCAAATAAAAATCCAAGACACTTAGTTAATTTCGAATTTCACATAGTTTTATAGTTGAAGTGTGTCCGATGCAATATTTGGGACATACTTAAACATAACAGATTGTAATGATGGTGCTGAAATTGATCTTCAAGTAAAATCTCAGAATATCAGACTTTGGAAACTAAAAAAAAATTACATTTCTAAGGACAAAAATGAAATAGGGTATTCTCATCCAAGAATGATGTGATCACAAATATTTTGCAACAAGAGCCTAGGCTAAGGCCGCGCGCGGTGGCTCACGCCTGTAATCCTAGCTCTCTGGGAGGCTGAGGCGGGCGGATTGTTTGAGCTCAGGAGTTCGAAACCAGCCTGGGCAAGAGCGAGACCCCGTCTCTACCAAAAATAGAAAGAAATTAATTGGACAGCTAAAAATATATAGAAAAAATTAGCCGGGCATGGTGGCACACGCCTGTAGTCCCAGCTACTCGGGAGGCTGAGGCAGGAGGATCGCTTGAGCCCAGGAGTTTGAGGTTGCTGTAAGCTAGGATGACGCCACGGCACTCTAGCCTGGGCAAAAAAGTGAGACTCTATCTCAAAAAAAAAAAGAGCCTAGGCTACCTTGTTTTACTAATAGGGCTAATATTCTTTAATGTTTTATAATGTTTGGGTATTAAAACAACTTATCAGATAAAAAGAGGTTTTAATAAATACTAAAATGTCTAATAAATTTGTTCTTCACTGTTCCTTTATTTTTACTTCTGTGAATTGCTCATATAAATGACATAAAAGCTCTCTCTCTTTGCCCTTCCTTTTGCTTGCCCTTCTATGACAAGGGGTCTGGTCGTCATCCATGGAGTATGTACCATGCTCTGTAAACCTATATCTTGCTCTTGCCCTATAATCCTATCTTTCTCTCCCCAATAAACCTCATCTTCGTGCTTGCCTAAAAAAATAAATAAATAATGACGTAAAAATATTTAAAAAAAATAAAGGGTCCACTGGACCCAGATGATAAGTGGTGATGACTATTTTACCAGGTAGATTGAGGTTAGGTACACCTCCCATTAATTCTCCTGAACTTGGTAATCGTAGTCATACTGCTCACCTAAAACGTCTTCAGCATCAGCCATTACCAAGAAAACTTACCATATTACTCACACTAACTCAAGGCCATTTATCATTTTTCATCATGGCTCTCTGGTCCCTTTCAAACCACAAGATGACCTCTGAACAGAATCTAATCCACTTGTATGAGAGGACTTTCCAAGGCAGTATAAGAAAGACTGCAATATGCTGGAATTGTGCTCTGGTACTTTTTTACAATCTTTTCTCTTAAGTTCAAATCTCTGCCTAAAAGCAACTGTGCTTGTGCTTCCATTCTCATCATGAACAAAGCAGGAAGAGGGTAAGCTATACAACATCTCTCCTGGAGAATTTGTCTCACCTTGATATGTTTATAAGGTGGTGGCTTCTTATCATTCTTTCGGTCTTCTTGTAGCTGTCGTAGCTCTTTTTGGGCCTTTAACTCCTCAAACCTTGCTGCAGCTTCCTGAAGAGCTAAGAAAACACACAGTACAAGTCACTTAAAAATCTCTGGACTAAGTTATTTTGTTTTTATTCCACCCTCCTTCAGTTGGAGAAATTCCATGTTTTAGACCAAAATCAGCCAACACTTTATGAAAAAGAATACACATGACACCTATGTTCAAACAGATTATAAAGTCCCAAAGGTATTAATACATGGCATTAAGATAAAACATAATCCATAACTAAATGGTATTAATACAGACTAAAATAGCTTAGAGGAAAAAACAAAAAACAGCTAACTGGCTTGGAAAAGCCCACAGATACCGTCTCCTAACAACAAAACTTCATTTGCTCAGCAAAATCACTGCCTTTAAACCTAAATTTTTCTTTAGTCCCCAGTCTCATGCTTCCAGAAACATTCTACTTCCTAGGTGCCCCAGGTAACATGCTCACTCTCCTTTGGCAGAAATACAAAGTTAAAGTTTTGCTCTCCTTCCTGCCTATTCCGTAGAGAACCTGTCCTACTCTTTGCTAAGATTCATTCTGTAAACATCAACTATTAGCTCTAATAATACACAGATCTTCTTATCTATTCTACATTTAAGACTTGTACTTTAATATGCTTAAAACATTGCAATATCTGAAAAGTCCAACAAAATCTTAAGATCCTCATCCTTTTCCAATTAAAACAAAATTTTAATCCATTATTCTTCAGCAAGGTGAAAAACTGTGAGAATTCCAATTCTTCCCTCTTTCCTCTCTGTGGCATTCCCCATGCTCTGTCAATTCTTTCACAAAAATCTCTCCTGTTCCCATCCTCTTTTCTTCAATTCCTTGTAACAACCTAGCAGATTTTGTGTGTTACACGGAGTCCTTCCTCTAAATTATCCTAAAATTCATTCTTCCCTCATCCTATCATTTGGCATGTCCTCCCTAGTCTATCTCCTTAATGTCTATCCAGTATACAACATCCCCCCCACCTCCATGAACAATTCCCTGAGAGTCTGGTCATCTCTAACTAGAACTAAAACCCTCTCACCGACCTTCCTGGCTATCGCTCTCACCTTTTAATGGTCCCGATAATCAAATCCAGATTAAGGTTTCTAAAACTCTGCTTTGACCATGTGACTTACTTATCTTTTTAGGCTCCCTAATATTATGCTTAAAGCATAGCAAATATTTGGAGATGCTAACTCAGCATGTTACTGTCAACATGTGCTTTCACACCGTGAGTTTTTTTTTATTTTTTTGGGAGACAGAGTCTTTGCTCTGTCATCCAGGCTGGAGTACAGTGGTGTGATCATAGCTAACTGTAACCTCAAACTCCTGGGCTCTAGCAACCTTCCTGTGTCAGCCTTCCAAGTAACTAGGAAAACAGGTGCCATGCCACCACACCCAGCTAATTTTTCTTTTACTTTTTGTAGAGACAGGATCTTGCTATTGCTCAGGCTGGTCTTGAACTCCTGGGCTCAAGCAATCTTCCCACCTCAGCCTCCCAAAGTGCTGTGATTACAGGCATGAGCTACCACGCCTGGCTTATCTTCTTGATACACTGTATTTATTATTCAAAAATAATTTTTTTTCTTAATTCACCTTGTCTTTGTCAGGCATTGTTGCTACATTCTAAAGTACCTTCCTTTATTCATCATCAGTGTAGGGGTTAAGAGTTTGGATTCTGGAGCCCAACTATCAGAGTCAGAAACATTTCTCTATCACTTATTGGCACTGGGACCTTGGGCAAGTAATTTAACTTTTATATACCACAGTTTCCTCACCTGCAAAATCAAGATGGTATCTACCTCATAGGGTTGCCATAAGGACTTAAAGCAGAAAACTCTCTAACATTGAACAGGGCCTGGCAAATAAATGGTTAACTACTATGGTTCATTCTTCAAAGTGTCACTTACAGAGGAAGGCATCTGTGATTTTCAAACTTCAATTCCCCAGCTTAGTCAAGCTTTCTCTTGCTCTGTGCCCACAGCATATACCATGAACATTTATGCCACATCATTCACTGAATGGCATTCTGACTGCTGGTATCTATGTCAATTCCCCCCTTAAAAACACGTGTTTCTATCACTTGAACCCAGGAATTCGAGGCTGCAGTGAGCTATGATTGCACCATTGCACTCCAGCCTGGGCAGTAGAGCAAGATGCTGTTTCCACAAAACAAAAACATGTTTTCCTAGAAGGCAAAGGACAGCTCCTAGTGTAGGCAGAATCCCAGAGCTTCAGGAGGCTCAGACTTGAGACCTTATTTACACTCCCTCTTTCCCCCCAGCTTCTATGGTGGCCAGCTCTGTGCAAAAATCTTGGTCACTTGGTCCCCAACCTCTGAGATTACAAGACTCAAGACCTAAGCTCCTATAATATTAGTACTGATAGCCCACATATATTGCACAGAAACTAGAGGACAAATAAGTGAGTATGTACTAAAATAACATAAGGCAAACAAAATTTTATTGACCTTGTTCCCATGGATATCACTCCCATTCCCTACCCAGGAAGTTTCATCTGCTTAGAATCTCATTTCATTTCATCCTGTAGATAAAATTTTATGCAGACGTTCCTAGACATTACCCCATAGTAAGTTGAAGAGCATAATGAACATATATCACTTTCCATCACTGTGAAATCTTAAGTTGAACCACAGTAAGTTGGAGACCGCCTGTACTTTAATGTCCAAATATATGCAAATAGCAAAAGATATGTTGCCTTTCAAGGGCCAGCTAAAGGAAGAAGGTATTAGATCATTAAATATGAAATGTCCAATTTTGAATCTAAAGTGTAGTTTATTATATCTCAAACAAGAAGAAATACGATCAATCAAAGTATGCACCTAAACTATCGACACAGTTTTGCCATCTTAACCATAGCTTGTTTATGACACCAAAGAAGCCTAGAGAATGAATGGGGATGAAATCCTGAAAGGCAGTTTCCACAGCTTGTTGAGAATTGGATATTTTTCCTTGCAAGAAGTGGTCCACAGCCTGGAAGAAGTGGTAGTCAGTTGGTAGGTACACAGTCTGGTGAATACGGTGGATGACAGAGAGTTTCCAAGTCCAGCCTCTGTAGTTGGAGTCAGTGGTGTTTGTTCGACATGTGGCTCGAGTGTTGTCTTGCAAGAGGATTGGCCTGTCTCTATTGATCAATCTTGGCTGCTTAATCGCAAGCATCCTCACCATTTCATCCAAATGGTTGTAGTAGACATCCTCTGAAATTGATTGACCAGGTTTCATGAAGATATAGTGGATAATACCAGCACTGGACCACCCAAAAGACACCATTAGCTTTTTACGATGTATATTCAGTTTTGGACTGTGTTTTCGCACTTTACCTTTATCCAACCATTGTGCCAAACACCTGCGATTGTCAAAAAGAATCCATTTTTTCAATCACACATAACAATACAGTGTAGATATGGTTTGCCTTTATGCCATGACAGCAAAGAAAGGCAAGCTTCGAGACAGTTTCTCTTCTGACACTCGTTTAATTCATGTGGTACCCATCTATCCAGCTTCTTTACCTTGCCAATTTGTTTCAAATGGTCCAATACTGTTGGAATGGTGATGTCAAGCCTTGCTGCTAATTTACGCATAGGTTGAGATGGATTCGCTTCCACTATAGCTTTCAACTCATCATTATGCAACCTGGTCTCGGGTCACCCACATGGCACATTTACAAGATTAAAATCACTAGAACGGAATTTCTCAAACTATCACCATACTGTACCTTCATTAGCCACATCCTCCCAAACACTTCATTGTTATTTCAAGCTGTCTGCGCTGCATTGTTTCGACCACAGAACACATTTGAAAATAATATGAATTTTTAATTCACCCATGGTTTCACAAAAATTGCTCTTTAAAAAAAAAATTTAAAGATAATCATAAGCCAAAGCGTGCATTTGGAAGACTGAGGATGTACCTTCACATTAAACATACAAAAAGAAGAGTCAAAGTGAAATGTCAGAGGTATCAACTGTCAAACTTAGCACTTAGTTGGATATTTCATACTTAATAACCTAAAAATTATCACAGAGGGGATACCAGTTATGTACTCTGCAGGTTCACTTTCATTATCCCACTGAATTCTCAGAGCAAACTCTCTCCATTAAATGGTAAGAGAAAACCAAGGGCTCAAAGCTGATTCAGCCACCTGGTAAGTAGTAAAAGTAGTCCTGCTGAGACAAGAGACACCCTCCTACCCCTATACAGCTTCACTGCTAAACCAGCTTATAAAAATTTCTCTTGATATATAGTATTTATGCTGTGACCTTCACTACTTTGTTCTGTAATTTTTGGTGAATTTTATTTCTTCCTAATAAACCAAAAAAGGAGAAAAATAAAAAAACAAAGAAACTAAAACTAAACTCCTTGGAGCAAACAAACATGGCTTCACTAGAGATGTGAGCCCTTGCCTAGCAAATTATATTGTTTGTTCTATAAAATAGTTCTAGAACTCCATTACTTGATGAGATGATAAGAAAACAACTGATAAGGCAAAAAACCTCCTTGAAAGAAATTCCAATTAAAGAAAGGTTAGGCTCAAAAATAATGAGTTATGTGGGTCAACTGCCCTTCAAAGTACTGTACCTGCAGCCACATAATGCCCCCAGGACAGAACACAGCTGCTAAATGGAATGTATGTGAATTTTAACACAGAACAGATATTCAAGCAACAGAGGTAGTTGTTGGCCTGAGAAACAAAAAGGATAAAATTACCTTTTTTGTATGTCCCATCTACTCCTTTGCCCATCTTATCCTTGCTGCTCACATCCCCCTCCATGTAAGGGAAGACTCGGGCCTGGTGAGTCCACAGATAGTCATTAGATCCAAAGAAGAGGACAGGGAACTCGCCCACATCATGTCTCATCTTATCGATGTTGGAAGGAACAGCTCGAGGATGGCAAATCTCAGCTGGCCACCACCTGGGAGAGGTGAAAAGAAGGGAAGAAACCTCTAGGAGACTGCAAGGCACAAGAAACATAATCTACTTAAATAGATAATAAGGAATAGAACTGCCTGCCCATACGAAAAGTCCATCCTAGGGCATTCTCACAACCTAACTAGAGCACAAACAAGTAGTGTGTGCTGGAAGCATGAAAACACCTGTCCACACTCCCAAACATGCATATGCTCCCTTAGACTCCATTATTCCACTTCAAAGAATCTATTAAAGAATATATTAAAGGAATTAATTGGAGATATGAAAAAGACTTATGACTATAATGTTCACTGAAGCATTATATCCTTAAGAATAAAAAACTTTAAATCAAGGGAATGATAGTGGTAGCCACGGTACACTGTACAATGAAAGACAATTTGGTCTTTAAAAAGAAAACTTTCAATAATTACACTTACTCAATTACTCGGAGTACTGAAAATTACTAGGAGTACTGAAAAATGATACCAAGAAACGAAAGGAAAAAAAGCAAGTAAGTTAGTATAATACCACTTTAGGGAGACAATTTGGCATCAGCTGTTAGAGCTGGAAGCCTATATTGATCTATTTTACTCTGGAGAATGCCCTAGAGAAGCTCCTGCGTATGTAAACCAAGAAACACCAACAAAATGTTCATAGTTCAAACAGGAAAATGGACAAATGAACTACAAAACATTGTGTGATTATATAAAGGAGCATGGGAGAACAGTGAACTGTGAATGAACTAAAGCACTATGCTAACTATGATGACTCTCAGGGCATAAAAGTGAATTAATAAAGTTAAGTTGCAGGAAAATATATCAATAATACTTCCTTTATATAGGATCTAAAACATGCAAAACAAAACATTATACACGTGGTAAACCTTTACAGCAAGGCAAAGGAATAAAAAACTGAAAATTTAGTACAGTGGGTAGCTTTGGAGGTGGGGAGAGAATGGAATCAGGACATAGAGAGAGTCAAAAATACCAACAATGATTTTTTCCTTTGGAGGTACATACATAGGTGTTCCTTTTGTTATTCCTTAAAATCATGCATGTTATATTCTTTGTGCATTCTATGTTCAATAAAAATAATTTTAAAAAGAAAAGGTACAAAACTGGGTATAAACCATAAGGACAATTATTTTGCCGGGGGGCATACTGGCCTGTTTGCAAATAAATTTGCTGAAATGTTAACAATGTATCCTTTTTGTGAGATTATGGCTTTGTTTTCATTAATAAATTTTCTACAGAGAACATGTATTATTCCTATGATTACAAATCAGAAAGTTAGGTTTTGTGGTTTATAAGGAAAAATTAATGAGGGGAGGGGGAGAGGTACCATGACTAATCAGGAAGATCATTAAATAAAAAGGTAAAAACTTTGTTTGACAGTTCCCAAGAAGCAGGATGGTGAAAAAAAAATGAGTGCCATTCTCCTTCACACTTACCTGTATCGTCCAACTTTTACCCAGACAATCTCCCTGTAGTGCGGCTTTTTGCCTGCCTTACAATCATTGCAATACCAATTTCCTTCAGGAATATCAATGTTCAGACATTCACGATGAAAAGCAGCAGGGCAAGAATCACAGCACAGAAGGCTGCCTCCTGTGGGAATCAAAAAAATCTGGCACTCAGACCATAAGGCATATAAGAACCGAGCAGAAACAGCTTTTGCTCAGCTCCCAACAATTATTTATCTCCCAGCAAAGGGTTTAGTAATTTAGTTACTCAGAAAGACTTTTCTGCAACAGTATTCCCCCTCCAATGTTCCTGAAACCCCCACCCCAATCCTAAGATTTGTTAGATTCACAGCTAATAAACGAGATCTTACTAGTAGAATTATGTTAAGGGAATGAGATCAGAAGCAAAACTATAAAATTCATGTATGTGTACATCCACACACATATATACATTTTCATTTCCTTCACTAGAAGACAACATACAACATACTAAACAAACAAAAAAAAATATTAATGACACACAATGAGCAGAGTATAAAGAGGACAAGCTTTAACTGATTAAAGGTTAGATTCAGGTTGGAATTCCAGCTCTAAGACAGTATTATCTTGGAGAATTCACTTTCCTTGTTGAGCTATAATTTCCTCAATAGTGAGGTGTTTTCTATAATGAGTAGTAACCACATCTGTCTGAGAACTCACCTAACTAATAAATCACCTAGTTGTTAAGGACACATAGTGTCTCCATATGCTTAGTTCCTTCCCTTTTTTGTAAATTACTAACTTTTCACAACTTTGTATTTTCAGCAAGACAGGTACACATTTTATTTTGCTGCCAAAAAGAAAAAAATTTTATGATAAGGCACTTGTCTACGTATGTGATTCTCCACCCTAAGCAAAGTGTTTGGCACCCTTGTAACACCTATGGGCCTTATCCAGAATACTATCTATAAATGAATAAACTTCATATATAAGATAAAAAGGACATCAACTACATTAAAATATAATTAACAAAATGTTGAAGCAAAAAAGATATAGATATACATGTTTCCTTGTAATGCATAAATAACAAGATCTAGTAGTGGTAATGACTATAAATGATATTTCAAGATATAAATGATACCTGTAACAACTGTATTATCTGTGACTTTTATCTGGTTTGTTACCAAAATTTCACTGTAAGTTCTCTCCTCCCTATCCAAATTCTGAGACACTGGGCTAATTATATATTACATGACAATGAATTTTCACTTCTTAAAAGATTTTGTACTCTAAGTGACTCATAATTTATATAACTGGTTCTGAAACCGTCATTGTTGCACATATTAGATAAGGTATTTCAGGGACGAAAAATTCGTATTTAAGGAATACAACATATGCCTCATCTTCGGCCAGAAATGAGCACGCTTCAAACATGCTAGACTCAAACATGTAAGTCCAAGTTTTATCCTGAAGAGGGAGTGAGGAGTGAAGACTTAGCAAAGAATATATCTGAGTTTATCTTGTTCTCACCTTGCTTCTTTTAGTTCTTAAAATCCTACTAAAAACATACCTTTGTGACAATTTCCATATACAATTTCTTCCCACAGTAATTTCTGCCCTTTCTCAATAATTCCCTACAGCAGGCTCTTAAAATAAGAGCTGGAGTTTTGTTTTCAGGGGTGTGTACTTAAGATCTGACTCCTGCTTCAATTCAAAAAGCTCACCTTTTATCTCTATTGTATACTGGAGTTCGGATTCAGAGTAAGATTTCATTTGGAAAAATGTCTGCTGCTAGGAAACAAGTCTGAAGAACAATTACACAGTCTGAAACCCATACTTGACTATTTTTGTGCCTCTTGTGGATGAATTAAGAACGGGACATAGGCAGGGTGCGGTGGCTCACGCCTGTAATCCTAGCACTCTGGGAGGCTGAGGTGGGAGGACCACTTGAGCTCAGGAGTTCAAGACCACCCTGAGCAAGAGCGAGACCCGTCTCTGCTATAAATAGAAAGAAATTAGCCAAACAACTAAAAATAGAAAAAATTAGCCGGGCACGGTGGCACGTGCCTATAGTCCCAGCTACCCGGGAGGCTGAGGTAGGAGGATCACTTGAGCCCAGGAGTTTGAGGTTGCTGTGAGCTAGGATGATGCCACGGCACTCTAGCCTAGACAACAGAGTGAGACTGTCTCAAAAAAAAAAAAAAAAACCAAAAAACGGGACATTAAGAGTAACGTAAAGTCACATAAATTCAACTGACCCAGTGGCAGAATACCTTCTTACAACATTCCTATCCATCCTTAGTTACCTGATGAGTCATAACTTGGTTGATATCACAGTCCGCATACATAGTCTTAGGAAAAAAATATTCCTAAGTTGGCATTTAGGATATATGAGAAATATTTCATGTACAGAAAAGCATTTGAATCAGGCCTTCAAAGAAGAATATAACATGAAAAGAAACTTGGATAGAAGAAAACTTGGACAGAATCAAGGCCAAAGGGCAGAGCTGAGGGGAAAGAGTGGCAAGCCCATCAGTTTTGCAGGGAAGACCATAACGGGACTGAGATGAGGAAGAATGTGAGGGAAGAAATCAACAGGACTACTCTGGGTAGAAGGATGGAAGGAGGCAGGAGGGTCTGTCTGGTGGCAGTAAAGAAGAGATATAGGAGAGAGAGGGAAAGACAGGGAGACAGAAAAGGGAAAGCTGCATGAAAAATCAAAAAAAAAAAAACCCAAAAGATGAAAAAGTGACATTTGGTAAAAGAGGGAAAATAAATTTTAAACATTGCTGAATTCCAGGACTTGATTCCATTTAGTTTAGCAATTTACTATATAATTATACTAATACTCTTGATAACCACCTTTTCAGTTCTTTCTCTCCTTTACACAAGCAAAAAAAAAAAAAAAAAGTCCTAAGACTATTCCTTCCCTGTCTCCTAACAGCAGGATAATCTTATCTAGTGGCACCAGCAATTCTTAGGCTTTCTAGTCTCAAGATAACTTTACACTCTTGCTAATTATAGGGAATCCCAAACAGCTTTTGTTTATGGGGGATATATATACAGATATTTGCCAAAAAGAAATTAAAACTAAAAAATTTTTCAAATATCTATTAATTCATTTTAAATGCTAAAAATCTATTATGTTAAAGAACATTTTAATGAAAAAAATAACTACATTTTTCTGAACTAAAAAGCCAATTTTAATGAGAAGCGCTCACTGTTTTACTTTTCTTTTTTTAATTAAAAAAATTTTTTTTAGAGATGAGGTCTCACTCTATCACCTAGGTTGGAGTACGGTGACATGATCATAGCTCACTGACTGCAGACTCCAATTTCTGGGCTCAAGTTATCTTCTTACCTCAGCCACCGAAGTATTATAGCTTGTACTGCAGGTGTTTTTACATTTTTACAAATATTTTAAATTGCATTTGTTGTAATATGTTATTTGGTTGACACATATGAAGAAAATTAAGTCTCTCAAAGATACATACTTGGAAAAGAGTATTTTAATAGCCTGTTCAATTGTGTATATTCCTTCTTTGATACTACAATAAAACTCCATAGTGTGGAGTTTAATTGCAATGTGGAAACAAACTGTCATTAACTGTTAATACTATTACATTAAAATTCACTGATCTGTCATGCACTTTGAATGGATCTTTTATAAATACCAAGTTTTTTAACATCATGTATGTTATATCAAAAATATTGGTTCACTGAGTCATGTAGATCTTCTAAATGTTGACCTATCTTGTTACATAATATTAAAATATCACATTTATTAATATCACCATGATCTCATCAGTAAGTACCAGGAAATTGTTAGACCTAACGTAGTACATAATAGTTTTCCAAGTATGAATAGCCATAGTTTGTCAGCTGACTCTTCAAACTCAGTTGCATGCGTGCTTTAACTCAAGGCAACCATCAGTATGCAACAAAACTGCTTTATGTGCACTTCCCATACCATCACAAAATAAACAATGTTCACTTGAGGGTCGACATTTAATAAAATTAATACAATTTACTTCTTTATAAAAGAAATTCTTATGTGAAGCAACCATGTTTGTGAGGATACACTGCCTTGATGTTTGATAAGGTGCCAACAGTTTTACCCACCATTGATTTTGCACTATCTGTGCAAATGTCAACAAAGGGAAAAAGGTAAACAACATCTTGGTATTAAGAGACTAATGGCGAGTAACATCTTTCTACAACAGAGTTTTAATCTCACAGACCATCTGAAAGGGTCTCTGGGCCTCTCGCCTGAGATCCATGGACCACACTTAAGTTTCTTTTGGTACTCAGTTATTATTTTGAGTGTCCATTACTGGATTCTAACTTTTCATCACCCAAGCATCACACAAATTAGGACTGCCACTCACATGGGCACCTTCCACCGTGAAAACCTTTCAGAAACTGTTTCCTCTTCCCACGTTCAAGAAACACGGAAAACTTCAAAAAAAAATGCACATTAGTACCCAGACCCATTTTTATTCTGAAAACTACAAAATGTTGTATTTAAATGGTATTACATACAAAAGCCATGCCTTTAACTTTCTTTAAAAGACATGAAAAATGGTAAAATGATAAATAGGCCTAAGGGTTCATTAGAAGACAGTTTAATTAAGAAGTATATATTAGAAGAACAAAAAAATTTATGATATCATAAAACTTTATACAGAACAATCACATAGCTAATATATCTTAAAAAAATCAGCACCACCCTCTTTCTGCATTAAAACATCCCTACACCAAAGTGTTACTTCCCATCAACATAACTGCACTGAATCCTCTATTTTATTTTTTCTATATTAGCACCATAGTTTGAGGATAAAAACTAATGTCCTGAAGCAAACTCCAGTAACTAGGTTATTTTTTTATTAAATTGTCATGTTACATAACTCTTAAGAACACTCCCCATCCCCCCCAAAAAAATTTAAATTGAGTCTTCAAATATAGAAAGCAGCCATGGAACAACATTTTCATTTTGGCTGTAGCACTATTTAGTATATCCACATTTCTCAAAAGGAATACAATGTTTTCTCAATTCATCAGATTCCACTGGATTTCTTCAGTTTCTTGACTTCTGAAATTAACTAGACTCCAGTCTCTGGCTATAGAAAAGAACTTAGAAAGGAACAATATATCACAAGTAAGGAAAATTCTCCTTTTACAGAATTACTGACATACATTATTACATATGATGATACAGGTCTCCAAAGTGATCTGTATTTCAAGGAAGAAGAAAGAAAAGAAAGCATTGTTTTCTTGGGAGAAGTCATCTTGGGTAAATTAGCAATAAGGAAAGTTTTTAGAAGAAAATCAAACAGAATAAGGCAGGCTGTGAAAACCAGTCAGTCCTAAGTAGAATAAAAAATTTAAAACAAAACAAAATAAAAAGATCAACAATCATCTAATTTTCTGGGAGTTGAGCCCAACCTCTCCCCCAATTGCAAAACCCTGATGCAGTGGTCCTTGTAATAAAAATAATAATAATTAAAAAAAGAAAAAAACCCTAATTTTCTGTGCTAGGGCTTTAACCACATATTTTCATTTAATTTACACTATTATAATAGGACTATCTGATAAAGTATGAAGCCCATATTTTATAAATGGGCAAACCAAGGCATTCAAAGCCTTCGTAAAGCAATTTGCCCAAAGACACAGCCAGAATTCAAAACTGAGTTTTCAGATTCCAAATACGATAATTGTTCCATTATGTATATATATGGAGTCTTTTAAAATTGGTCCTATTAGAACCTGTCACATTTACATATCCAAAAACAGACAACTCAGGGAAATTGCTGCCAAAATACTAATAATCAGCAAAATTCAGTCAATTAGAAAGTGAATGAGGAAACTGGAAAAGAAAACTGGTGCCACCAACACCACCAGCAAATAGTGGAGCATTGTTCAAAGCAATCTTAGAAAAATAACATTTAACATAAACATTCTGTAGCACTGAAGATGTCCTTCTAGCACAGAGGCAAATGATGCCTCAAGCAGAGAATAACAGCACCTGTGAGCTCTTCTTAAAAGTTCAGCTAACCAAGAGAAAAATCGAAATAAGGAATTCAGAACCACAAGCACCAAATGTTAACATATTGGTGATGAGTACCTAACCATCCTCTTAGCATTAACTAGCATAAATCAGGTTGTGAAGGATGTAAAGGAGAGAAAGAGGAGAGAAAATGTGTGAGGGCTAATATTGATTCTCCCCTCTAAAGAAGTATGTTGTAAATTGAAAAATAATCAAAACATAAAACTTGTTTTTCCTCTACCTTATAAAATCTTTTAAGAACTAATATCCCTTATAATAAAGATTTAACTAAAGTTCATAAATTCCTTCACTTTTGTTGTTTTTCTCCTCTTAATTCATGTAAAATTGATTTTTAAAAATCACACACACACAAACCAAGTGATGGATATCCTAAAAGCTCTGATTTCACTACACAATTTATGCATGTAACAAAATTACACTTGTATCCAGTAAAAATATAAATAAATGAATGAAACATTAAAAAACCCCACAATTATATGATGATACCATTTTCTAGAATTGTTTCTTTCTAGATATCTGCTGTGAGACAGAGTCTCAATCTATTGCCCAGGTTAGGGTACAACAGCGTCATCGAAGTCACTGCAACCTCAAGCTCCTGGACTCAAGAGATCCTCCTGACTCAGCCTCGGAGAGCAGCTAGAACTACAAGCACACACTACCACCATGCCCAGCTAATTTTCTATTTTAGACAGAGATAGGGTCTCACTATGTTGCTGAAGCTGGTTTTGAACTTATAGCCTCAAGTGATCCTCCCAAAGTAATAGGATTAAAGGCATGAATCACTGCACCCAGCCAATATCTGCCCTTCTATCTGCTGACAGATAAATGTCAGCATAAATGTCTGGAGTAATACCAATTAATATTCACAGTGGGATTTGAGTAAAATTTTTTTCTTTCTCTGTTCTTTATTTTCACTACATCAAATGTTTATTATTTTTAAAAAATCAATTCATTATTCAAAATAAAAAAATAAAATCTCTTCATATTGGGCAACAAAGCCAAGTTCTAAAAGTTCTGCTGCTATCATTAATTTGGAACATTATTTCCTAATATTTTCTCCAGTGACAATGTGAAGAAAAATATTCTTATTCCATTAAAACACTTTGTCAATCCCTTTTTAGACTATTCATACAGCAAGAAGTTATTTCTTACCTTCTGAGCACACAAAACACCAGCTAACATTAACATGCTCATGATTTCGGCAACCCCGCCTAGGGGTAAAGTGATTAGGACAGATGATACTATTAGATGCAAGGATCTTTGAACCAGCAGCCAGGCAAAAGTCATTGGCGTGGTATGCCACAGGGCAGCGGACACAGCGCATGAGGCGACCTAAATATATAAGAAGCAGGAAAACAAGGGGAGAGCAAAAGAAAAACAAAGAGATTATATAAAAAAACAATGTGAGTTAATTAAGTCTATTTGCTAGCATTCAGAAAATATCATAAATAGAAGGAACACTAGAATGATTGATGGATTTTTTTTTTTTAAAAGAAGAAATGGGGTCTCGCTGTCACCCAGGCTGGAGTACAATGATGTGATCATAGCTCACTGTCTGTAACCTCGAACCCCAGGCCTCAAGCGATCCTCCCACCTCGATCTCCCAAAGCACTGGCATCACAAGCCTAAGTCATGGCACCCTGCCAGATGATGGATTTTTAAATACCCAATTTGCCACAAAAGCTCAGACAGGAGTTACATATAAGTCTACAAAAAGAATCAGATCCCATAATTGTCAATGAGCCTTTTTTTTTTTTTTAAGACAGAGTCTCGCTCTGTTGCCAGGCTAGAATGCAGTGGTATTATCATAACTCACTGCAACCTCAAACTCCTGGTTCAAGCAACCCTCCTGCCTCAGTCTCCCGAGTAGCTGGGACTACAGGTGCATGCCACCATCACACCCAGCTAATTTTTCTATTTTTTGTAGAGACGGGGTCTCACTCTTGCTCAGGCTGTCTCCTGGCCTCAAGGGATCCTCCAGCCTCCTGCCTCAGCCTCCCAGAGTGCTAGGATTACAGGCATGAGCCACAGTGCCCAGCCCAGCCTACCTTATTAAGGAAAGCCCAACCCAAACCGCCGCCCTGACTCCTAGGAAACCTGAAATCAGGCCCAGACTAAAGGGGGGGAGGGGACAGGAGATTAATGCCTGCCTGGTACTCTGTGATTCTTAAAGCTTCTCAGGTCAGTTCATCTACTACCCATTCCACATGAAATACATTCCCTAAAATACTTCACCAACTCAAAATGATTCCCAAACCACCTAAATGCAATCTGTAACAGCAATTATAAAGGAGAAGTAGCTGATAGTTAAACTGCAAATATTTTTTCTTTTTTAAAGACACGGGGGGCACTGTATTGCCTAGGCTGAACTTGAACTCAAACTCCTAGGATCAAGCGATCCTCCCCCTTCAGCCTCCTGAGTAGCTGACTAGAGGCAGGTGCCACCATGCCCAGCAAAACCCCATTTTGAGCTAGCAATTTAAATTACTATACTCAGGACTGATGAGACTTACAGGGCCAGGAAGTCATTTTACAAAAGGTACTGCCAATCTGATTAAAAGAAAAGTCAAAATAAAATAATTAGCCAGGTATGGTGGCTATGTGCCTATACTCTCAACTACTTTGGAGGCTGAGGCAGGAGGATCATCTGAGCGAAGGAGTTTGAGGCTGCTGTGAGCTATGATGACACCGCTGTACTCTAGCCCAGGCAACAGGTATTTTTTGGAGGTTCTGTCTTTTAAAAAAAAAAGAAAGAAAGAAAAGAGAAGTCAACACTGCTCAATTTTGCACGCTCGAATCCTCTGTGGGAAAAGTTGGAACTCTTTTGACACACAAGAATTTACTACCATAGACATAGTATTTGGCTTTTAGAAAAATCAGTAAGAGACCTACTATTACTGAACAGAAAGAAAAGACTTTTATTTTTATTTATTTATTTTTAGTAATAAGTTTTAAAACTTCAGTTTACCTATAAGCATAGACAGTTTTGGAAAACTCAGCTCTCAACCTAACTGTGAAGCAGAAATGTTTCTAAAACAGGAGTTTCCATTTAAAAAATTAAAACAGGTTGGGCACAGTGGCTCGCACCTGTAATTCCAGCACTTAGGGAGGCTGAGGCAGGAGGATCACTTGAGGCCAGGAGTTTCAGACCAGCCCGGACAACACAGCGAGAACCTGTCTCTACAAAAAATTTTTAAAAAATTAATTGGGCATGGTGGTGCGTGCACATAGTCCCTACTACCTGGGAGGCTGCGGCTAGAGGTCTGAGGTTGCAGTGAGCTATGATGACGTGAGTGTGCTACAGTCTAGCCCAGGTAATAGAGCCAAGACCCTGTTTCCAAATAAACAAACCCCTAATTCTAACCTGGTATGCATTTCCAAATGATATCACATCTGTCAACCAGAGATATAACAACCCATAGGGGAAGAATACACTTTGGTCTTCTAATCATATAGAGGAAAAGGACATGCAGCAGAACCCCTCCACAAACCAAATCTTGGCCAGGCATGGTGGCTCACGCCTATAATTCTAGCACTCAGGGAGGCCAAGGTGGGAGGATCGCTTGAGGTTAGGAGTTCGAGACCAGCCTCAGCAAGAGTGAGACCCTGTCTCTACTAAAAATAGAAAGAAATTAGCTGGGCAACTAAAAAAAATTAGCCAGGTGTGGTGGCACACGCCTGAAATCCCAGCAACTCAGGAGGCTGAGGCAGGACGACTGCTTGAACCCAGGAGTTTGAGGTTCCTGTGAGCTATGATGATGCCATGGCACTCTAGCCTGGGCAACAGAGCAAGACTCTCTCAAAAACAACAACAACAACAAAAAACCCCCAAATCTCTAATTCCAAATATTTAATACTACCGCTTGACACCAGGGCTCCATAGAACACAATGTGGTGGCTGCTAAACTAGTCCATTACTGCCTCTTCTCTCCCACATACAATGCTGACATTCTCTCTAACTGACAAAAGCTAAAAAGAGGCCATGAAGAGACATGCCAGATTGCATTTGAAAATATCTGTTGCCAACGAAACTGAGGTACTACAATTAGATTGATCTGCAGGAGAAATTCATACCTTTTGATGCAGAAACACTGGCTGGATTAGCAGCATGGCAGGTTATACAGATGTGGAGGGAGCACCGGAAGCCCTTGTTTTGCATGACAGTGGGTGGGTACTTCTGGACACACTCTTCATGGTAAAACTTTCCACACAAGGGCAGAAGGCACCTTTTGACATCTTCCCCACTCTGTTTACATACAAAACAGGTATGGATTCCTGAAAAACCATAAGAAGGTAACAAATTAATACTAATTCAAGGATCTACACAATGCTAAACTATTAGGTGAAACTTAGTGAAAATTTTATAATGGACTGATCAGGCTGACAACATCTGAACCCACTACTGAACTGCTCAGTATCACAAAAAAATGAGCAATCTGACAATATGCTTGCTGATGTGATACGACAGGGAGTATACATTGTCTTTGAGGCATCCTTGCCAAAAGAAAAAAAACTGATACTAAATCTAATCCAGTCTCTAGATCTACACACAAGTGTACAGAAAATATGGAGGATGGAGGAACAAGTTAAAGGGATACCTCAAGGATGCAACCAAATAAATCTGGAATGTGGACAATTTAACAGGAGAAATGACCATTCCTTCAACAAACAAATGGCATTTAAAAATATGGTAAGTGGGGCAGTACTGTTATAGATTAAGAGAAATTTAAAAGACATTAAAAAATACAATACAGAGACTTTACTTGGATCCTCATTCAAAACAGATAATACCTTTGAGACAAATGAGAACATTTAAAAATTTACTGGCTGGTAGATGACACAAAAAACTTGCTGTATATTCTCTTCTTAAACATTGGATATATCTTTAAAAATTGGGCCGGGTGTGGCGGCTCATGCCTGTAATCCTAGCACTCTGGGAGGCCAAGGCAGGCGGATCGTTTGAGCTCAGGAGTTCAAGACCAGCCTGAGCAAGAGCGAGACCCCGTCTCTACTAAAAAAATAGAAAGAAATTAGCTGGACAACTAAAAATATATATAGAAAAAATTAGCCGGGCATGGTGGCACATGCCTGTAGTCCCAGCTACTTGGGAGGCTGAGGCAGTAGGATCGCTTGAGCCCAGGAGTTTGGGGTTGCTGTGAGCAAGGCTGACGCCATGGTACTCTACCCCAGGCAACAGAGTGAGACTCTGTCTTGGAAAATAAAAAAAAAAATTGTAAGAAAACCTTTTGAAACATATAGGGAAAATGAGGCAGAAAGTTGGTAAGTATTGAAACCAAGTGATGAATACATAGAGATTCTTTATTTACATTGTTCTTTCTACCATTGTGTATGTCTGAAGATTTCTGTAATAAAAAGTTAAAAAAGAAGTATTCCACCTTTCTCTGAAATGCAATACAATGTATAGAAAAGAGCCTAGACTTAAGAGGCAAACATATGTGAAGTGGGATCCTGCTGCAGGCACTTGCTGAAAATAGGAGCTCATTCAAATTACCCATCTTATCTACAAACACTGAGATCACCCAGCTAATAACAATTTTAGTAAAAATATTAAAGTATGTGTTTGTAAAGAAATAAATTCAGCCTGATACTAAATAACTGTGAGTCATTATTAAACTGGAACAATCTAAATAATGATATGGGCACCCTATTACAGGAAAATGGGGTGAGGCACAAGCAATAAAAAAATGACTCCCATTTCTTATTCTCTTCATCTTTACTGAAACTGGAAAAATTTTTCCTACTCTAAAAAATATTAACTTCTTGGCCAGGAGCGGTGGCTCACACCTATAATCCTAACACTCTGGGAGGCTGAGGCAGGAGGACTGCTTGAGTTCAGGAGTTCGAGACCAGCCTGAGGAAGATCAAGACCCCATCTTTACTAAAAAGAGAAAAAATTAGCCAGGCATGGTGGTGCTCGCCTGTAGTCCCAGCTACTTGGGAGGCTGAAGCAGGAGGATCCCTTGACCCAGGAGTTTGAGGTTGCTGTGAACTCGGCTGACGCCACTGCACTCTAGCCTAGGCGTCAGAGAGAGACTGAGTCTCAAAAATACATGAATGAATGAATAAATAATAGGACTCAGAGAGTGAGAGACTGGGTGAGTCAGAAAAAAAATAATATAATAGTGTCTCTATACTTCATGTCATATGCAAAAATTAACTGAAAATAGATCATAGGCCTGAAATGTGAAACCTAAAACTATGAAATTCTCAGAAGAAAACATACAAGAAAAATCTTTGTAAGACTGGGTTAAGCAAGATTTCTTAGATATGACACCAAAGCACAGTACATAAAAAGAACAAACTGATAAACCAAACTTTATCAAAATTAAAAACTTCTGTTCTTTCAAAAATACCAGTAAAAAAATGAGGCCAGGCATGGTAGCTCACCTCTATAATCCTAGCAGTTTGGGAGACTGTGGCAGGAGGATTATTTGAGGCCAGGATCAAGACCAGCCTAAGCAACACAGTGAGACCCTGTCACTACCACACACAAAAAAAAAATTAGCCAGGTATGGTGGCACATGCCTATAATCTCAGCTACTTGGGAGGTTGAGGCAGGAGGATCAGCCTGAGCAACAGATTAAGACCCTGTCTTAACAAAAAAGAAAGAAAGACAATGAAAAAACAAGCCATAGATTGGGAGAATATTTTTTTAGGTACCTATCTGATAAAGGACCTGTATCGAGAATATATAAGGAACTCGTAAAATTCAACAATATGAAAATAACCCACTTTTACAAAAAGATTTTGACAGATGCTTCATCAAAGCACGTGAAAAGATGTTCAACATCATCAGTCATTTAGGGAAATGCAAATAAAAACCACGCTGAGATATCACAACTCCAGTTAAGACATGGTGGCTCATGCCTGTAATCCTAGCACACTGGGAGGCTGAGACGGGAGGATCGCTTGAGGTCAGGAGTTTGAGACCATCCTAAGAGTGAGACCCCCATCTCCACTAAAAACAGAAAAATTAGCTGGGCATTCTGTCGTGTGCCTGTAATCCCAGCTACTCGGGAGGCTGAGGCAGGAAGATTGCTTAAGCCCAGGAGTTTGAGGTTGCTTTGAGCTAGGCTGACACCATGGCACTCTAGCCAGGTGACAGAGCAAGACTCCGTCTCAAAAAAAAACACCCCACAATGAGATACCACCACATACCTATCAAATGACTAAAATTTAAAAGACTAATACCAAGTGTTGGCAAAGATGTGAAAGAATTAGAACTCTCATACATTGCTGGTGGGAATGTAAAATGGCACAACTATTTTGGAAAACAATTTGGCAGCTTCTTAAAAAGTCAAACATATACACCTACCATATGATTTAGCCACTCTACTCAGGTATTTACCCAAATGAAAAGAAAGTGTGTTCAAACAAAGACTGAAATGTTCTCAGCAGCTTTATTTATAACAGCCTGAACTGGAAAGACCCCAAATGCCCACCAATAGCTTGGATCAACAAACTGAAGTAAATATATACAATGGAATACTACTCAGCAATAAAAAGAAATAAACTATCAATACCACAATAACATTGTTGAATCTCAAAATAATTATTTTGAGTGATTGTTTCACAGGTTTATGCACACAGACATGTATCGAACCCTAACAAACTGTATACTTGAAATACAGCCAATTAACCTCAATAGAGCTGTTTTAAGAAAGAATAAACTACTGGCCGGGCGCGATGGCTCACGCCTGTAATCCTAGCTCTCTGAGAGGCGGAGGCGGGCGGATTGTTTGAGTTCAGGAGTTCGAAAACAGCCTGAGCAAGAGC